TAAAAGATGTATTTATGGGTAAGGGTGCTTTGTCTGCATATATGTCTGTGTACCATATGTGTGCCTGGTGGCCGCAGAGGCTGGAAGAAGGCATTCAATCCCCAGAAGGAGAGTTACAGATGGCTGTGAGCCACCACACAGGTGCAGGAGATCAAAGCCAGGTCCCCCGATCGAGCAGCCGGTGCTCTTAACCATGGAGCCATCTCTCCAACCTGCAACAACAAGCTTTAAATAGACATATGTGTATCTTGATGGAAGCCTGACTCTTGTGGAGGGGCTGCTAGGGGTGCAGTTCAGGATGCCTTGCAGGCTGAGCTCCTCCTGGGCCTGAAAGAACTCTACCCTTAACCTTGAAACAGTTTGTCTATGTGACACAGTTGGTTTGAGCCCTTTTCATCTGCTGATGCAAGAAAAAAAAAAAAAAACATTTACGAAGAGTAAACAGGCCTGATTTCAAAACCAATTAGAATTCGTCTTGATTGAGAAAATGAATACTCCGGCAAGCACAGCAGGGCCACAGCTAAAATCGCAGCCCAACAAGAAGGGATGAGACTTCATCCCCGGTGTCAGCTTCTCCTCTGCAGTCACACACACACACACACACACACACACACACACACACACACACACACACACCCCACAGTGGACCAGGGTGCCAAGCAGCTGCGAGCGGGTGACACTCTTGAATCAGAAGTGTGTCACACAGCTTGACTCGGTGCTGGGAATTGTCCCGGCACGGTCAACATTTCAGATTCACAAGGCAATCAGTAAAACGCAAGGTTTGGAAAGACTGTTCAAACATGAGTGATTTTTGAATATTTATTTCGTAGAGCTTAACAGATGGGTTTAGTGTTTTCTTCCAGGAAAGCTGGACAGAGTGGCTTTCGGGCAACAGACCATGCAAACCTCAGCAGTATCATCCCCCGTTGTGTGGCTGAAGATGACCCAACTGTACCAGAGCCCAAACCACCTTGTGATCGAAGGTTCTAGTTCTCTGCAGCCTGGAAGAAGAGCGCAATGGAAAGACTACTGCTTAGGGGCTGTATGCCTCAGTCACTGTGGGGAAGCAGGTGACTAGACAGATTGTAAAAGCCTGTCTCTGAGGTACAGCCACCCAAACATCCCGACACATGGAGGGACAAAGCAGATGTGGCACTCCCATCTACACTCAAGAGATTCTGACCCTTGCTGTGTGGCTTGGGCTCAGTTTTTTTTTTTTTAATTTTTTTTATTTAAAAAATTGTATGAGTGTTTGCCCAAACGAATGTCTACCATGTGCCTGCTGTGCCCACTGAGGTCAGAAGAGGGTATCAGATCCCCGGGGACTGGAGTTACAGATGATTGTAAGCTGTCATGTAGGTGCTGGGAATCAAACCGAAGTCCTCTGGAAAAAATAGCTAGTGCTTTTTGGGGGGGTGGGGGGCAGGGAGAGCATTTCAAGACAGGGTTTCTCTGTGTAGCCTTGGCTGTCCTGGAATGTGCTCTGTAGACCAGACTGGCCTTGAACTCAGAGATCTGCCTGCCTCCGCCTCCCGAGTACTGAGATGAAGGGCCTGTGCCATGCCAACCCGTTAACCACTATGTTGGGCTCAGTTTTTAAAAACAAGAACAAGCCGGGCGGTGGTGGCGCACGCCTTTAATCCCAGCACTCGGGAGGCAGAGGCAGGCAGATATCTGTGAGTTCCAGGCCAGCCTGGTCTACCAAGTGAGTTCCAGGAAAGGCGCAAAGCTACACAGAGAAACCCTGTCTTGAAAAACAAAAAACAAAAAACAAAAAACAAACAAAAAAAAAAACCCAAGAAGAAAAAGACTATCACAGCAGGGCTAACTGCTACCATAACATGACAAGAAAAAGGTAGAAAGTGGGGTGGCCTAGGGCTCTAGGTGGCCCAGTGAGCATCGACTATAGTTCTGGAGATGAGGGCTGGAGAGAGAGATGGTCTCAGTGGTTAATAGCACTTGCTGTTCTTCCAGAGACCCCGAGTTCAGTACCTAGCCCCATGTCAGGTGGTTCAGAACTACCTGTAAATGCAGCTCTAGAGAATAGGACTCCCATTGCTGGCCGCCTGAAGGTACCTGCACACATACACAGACACATAAAAAATAGAATACAAAGTTCCAAAAAGGAAAAAGAAAATCAGTTTTTAAGACCCCCAAATGAAAGGCTAGTGAGTGAACTCTGAGAAGTACCCACTAGGGTATCAGTGGAGAGAGCGAGGGAGGAAGAAAGCAGAGTCATCGTCCAGTGTCCACGTCCTCAGATCCAGACATCCGCAGATCTAAACAAGTATTTTTTGAAGCTAGTCTTGGTGGCACAGCCTATAAATCCTACATGTCAGAAACAGATGAGTATCTTTCTACACCTCAGATTTCATTAAATAACAATGAATTCCACAGCTACACCAGCAGCAATTTGCTAACCGGTCCCAATGTCCCTCGACAGCTGGCCATTGGCAAACAGATTCTCAGCTGGTAATGCTGGCCGAGCACACATTCCACAGTAATGCATGCGTGACAGAATGACAACAAAGGGTTAAAAAGGTCCACGTGGAGAGAGGGCTGCTACAGGAGAGTTCCAGTGAGGCCCTGAAGCTGGCAGGTAAGATACCAACAACCCAGATGGAGACCTTCTGGTTGTGCTCAGAGCTGCTGTGGGGTCACAGGGTCAAGCTGGGCTGCAGAAGGACCACTGAGAAAAGATGAAGGACTGGGTCCAGACAAATGGATAGAGGATGAATGGATAGACGGATAGATGGGCAAATGGATGGATGATGGATGGATGGATGATGAACGGATGGAAGGCTGGATAGATGGATGATGGATAATGAATGGATGTTGGATGGATGGATGATAAATGGATGATAGATGAAAGGATGGATGTTGGATGGATGGCAGTTGGAGTTAGTGGTATCAGATCTTGCCCTGCTTAACTGAAGGCCCTGGGACAGTTGGGGGTTCTCTGCCTATCGGTCCCTTAACACATACCAGGTGGTGAGATGGCAGGTTGGTGGGAAAATCACTAGCTCAATGTTCAGTGTCTTCATTAAGGGAAGTTGGGGATAGATGTAGCTCAGTTGATAAGAATGTTTGTTTAGCATGCATAAAGCCCTGGATTTGATCCCCAGAACCACATAAACCAGCTGTGGTGGTGCACACCTGTAATCTCAGCACTCTGGAGGAGGAGACTTGAGGGTTAGAATTTCAAGGCCATCCTCAGCTACATAGTAAGTTGGAGACCAACCTGAGTTGCACGAGACCTTGGCTTATACACACTTACACACACACACACCCATAAAATATCAAAAAACTAAGGAAATTGGAATAAATCATCATCTTCAGATAATACTGATGTCCTCAAATTATAAATGTACACAAACTTTTTCAGTACTGGGTTTGGATGCAGGGCTTGTTTATGCCATGAAAATGCTGTGTATTCCTTGGCCTCACCCCAACTGCCTCACTCAGAATGACTACAGAGAGGAGGAGAGTAGGTACACAAAGATGTGCCCAAGGGCCCTGGGCCACAGGAGGCTCCTCTGCCCTGGAATTAGAGAGGAAGCCACATGGACACCTACATGTGGCCAGTGTCGGCCTGTCTGGAATGAACGTCAAGCACCTGACCTTCCCTTCCACACGGTTTCCATTTCCTGCCCGGAAGAGCTGTACGGGAACTTTTGCAGACAGACAGGAAATACTAAGGACCCTGGCTGGAGACTGTGGAAATTGGCGGGAAGGGTCAAATTCAAGGTGGCATGGCTCTGGTATGGCTGCTAACAGCAGTGAGTTAATGTCTCTGCTTTAACGTCAGGTGGCAATCAGTCGACCCAACCAGGCAGGTGTTGTGTTGCAGGAAATCCTGTCCCATTTGGTTTCTCTTCTTCCCCATTAGGAAACACATTTATTTCCACTCCCGAGTCCGATATTAAGGCCACAGTGTCATTTCATTGTGTTCTAATATGTCCAGCAGTTGCTCTGCTGGCTTGGGATTTCAGGGAAATCAGGTTCAGAGCAGTAATTTCTGGCTATGATAATGAGTGGGAGAGATTGCTTTCAGGGCTCTGACTCAATATAGGGAGGTCACTTTGCAGTCCATGGTGATGGATGGGTCCAGGACTGCTATTATCTTCACTAGACGAGGCAGACTGCTTTAATTGACCAGCTCATCTCCACCGTGACAAACACAGGAAGCCTTCCTCCATTAGGGGCTGACTGATCGAAGCAGGGCGGGGAAAAGAGGCTGTAATTTTCTCAGTGGGTCAAATTCATCGAATGTACTTTCTTTTCAAAAATGATTGCTATTTATTTCTCTAGCAAGATCACGCAGCATCTCCTTTTGCCCGCTCATTCTTTGTTCTTAAAAGTTATCTAATGATTTGGCGAGGAATCCTGCAATTTGCTTGTCAGGAAAGTGCCACGTTTGAAGCCACACTCTGGCGCTGAGACAAGTTGCCAGTGATTACCGTTAGCCTCGCTCCTCCCGGGGCAGAACATCGCTTCTTGGACCACTGCTCCCACCCGGGGAAGGCAGTGTTGAGACAGCCTCCCACGGCTCCTTCTCACTGCACCGGAGAGTGTAAAAACATGCCAACATTTAACTCAAAATTGAGTAGCAATTTCCAGTCTTTGGGGTTCATCAGCGCAGGAGAGGCCTATTCCTCTCTATCTTCTACACTTACTCCAGTCCCACCCAGATGCCTGGTTCTGCCTCCTGCCAATGCCCTGGGCCTCTCCAACTGGCTGCTGTGGCCTCTGGACTCCCACTGGGTGCCATGCCTCCAGCCCCCAACCCCACCCCCCAACTCTGTTTCACATCCTCACCCATCCCTATTTCACAGGACTGGGAGGCAGAGAATTTATACTCGATAAGAAAAGGCTTCTGCTCTGTTGTGGTGCTGGGACTCAAACTCGGGGTTGTTTTTTTTTCTTTTCTTTTTTTCTTTAATCTATCACACAGAGACTGCCAGTCTCCCAGTCCCCAAAGAGCTTCATGACACAATCAGTGATGGTATTAGTGGAATCTTTTTATTTGGGGCAATTGTGACACGTTAGCATTGTAAGATTGAGATTACTAAGGAACCCGTTTCCCCCCAGTGACCACTGTGCAATAGCATAGAATCATGTTGGGGAGACCAGAGCCTCAGGAAGGGCTTTCCAGGAGACCAGAAATGAGGCAAACTCAGGACAGAAAGCCAAGAGGGACGGCCCAGCGGCTCCTGAGTCGCCTTGGCCCAGACACTGGGGGATGGGCGCCATCACTACAGCTCTCCTCTAAGTATCAAGATAAGTTTCAGGACAGTCAGCCTGGGGATGCACAGATGACTGAGCCAGCACACTCCAAGAAGGAATCTGGTGTCCTTGTAGGAAGACGCAAGCTGGCTACAAGACCGGTCCCTTACAGAGTGGAGCAAAGGTTAATTAAACACATGGCAAACGCTGTCCCCGCCTAGATCCTTCCTTCCACATGCTGAGGAGAAATGAAGCATTAAGCTGCAGAGAATCTGGGCCAGGGCCCACAAAGGAGCTGCCTGCCCTCCTTAGCTTTCTAGCCGGGCTTCTGAAAGCCCTTTTTGAGACTGCTGGCTCTGGTCAGTCCACCACACTCTGAGAAGGGAGAGAAGTCACCTTTCTCCCCTGGGTCTCTGGCTTCCACCTTGGCCCACCACCTCCTCTTGCTCACCCCAGAGCAGCCTGCAGGGCAGCCTGCAAATCCAACAGGTCTGGCCAGGAGACAGCCAGGCTGCTTTCATTAAGGAGCCAGAGGCAGCTCCCAGGGCAGCACAGCCTTGATTAAAACCAGACTTTCCCAAGTGCCTTTTCTGGGTTCTCAAGGGTCATGGGGTCTGCAAATCTGTGTCACACAGTTTCCGCAGCTCCCAACGTCAGGACCCTAAATGGGTTCCTTCTTCTGTTAAAAAGCATCAGTGAGAAAGTGCAAACAACTGGCAACTCTCCCAGCCACTGAAGGGAACACGTTTATCCTCCGCCAATACCAGTTCCCACTGCAGGTGGTAAGGAGAGGGAGGTCTGCAGGGGCCTGGGACCCCAGGGTGGGGCTGGGTGCAGGCAGACCCCCAAGCCCCAAAGTCATTTAGCAAAGACATAAAGGCCACGGGGAGGACAGGCCAGTGCTGAGATCCCAGACACACCCTGTGTTTTCAAAGACTTCAGAGGAGGCTTAACGCTCCCCCCACCCCATATCTTTTTTCTTTTTTTCTCTCTCTCTTTTTTTTTTGTGTGTGTGTGTATGGTGTTTGTTTGTGGAGACAGGGTTTCTCTGTGTAGCTCTCTGGCCATGCTGGTCATCGCTCTGTAAACCAGGCTGGCCTCAAACTCCACAGATTCACCTGCCTCTGCCTCCTGAGTGCTGGGATTAAAGGTGTGTGCCATCGCTGCCTGACTTATATTAATTTTTAAAGCTAAGAATATCCCCAAGGGGCTGGAGTGGTTAAGCACACTGGCTGCTCTTGCAGAGGACCTTCCCAGCATTCACAGAGTGGCCTACAACCATTTGTAACTCCAATTCTGAGGATCCAACACCCTCTTTCTGACCTCCACAGGCACAAGGCATCCATGCGGTGCACACATAGACATGAAGGCAAAAATACCCATACACATAATAAATAAATAAATCTTGTAAATAAATAGAAAAACATTCCCAAAACACCACTTCCCAGAGACCTGAGTCAGAGTAGACAGATGCCCATGTCCCAAGCCTGGAGCTCAGGACACAGCTGGCCAGCATACCCTCAGGCTCTGCATCCCAGCTTCCAGCCAATGGCAGAGTGACAACACTCAGGAGCTGCTGGCAATGTGCCTCAGTTGGTAGAGGACTTGCCCAGCAGGCACAAAATGCTGGCTTTGATCACATAAATCCAAAGTGGTGGTACATGCTTGTAATCCCAGCATTTGGGAGGCGAAGACAGGGGGATCAGAGGCTCAAGGTCATCCTGGGCTATATAGTGCATCTCACAAAAACTGGGTCTATCCCAAATACATCCAGACTCTTAACATTATCCCTAAACAATTCAGTACAACTATTTTAGTATGTTTTTTGAGATGGGGTCTTTACGTAGCCCAAGCTGGCCTTGAACTCATGTTGATCCTCCTGGCTTCTGGGATCACAGATATTGAATTAGCCACCTGGCTCAAGACTTTGCATTGGAACCTACAGGTGACTCACAGCCTATGTGCAGTCCATGTGCAGACACTGTGGCTTCACTGTGGGGTGCACATGTGATCCCTGCACTTCAGGGGCTGAGTGAGGATCCCTGAAAGGTCAAGGCCAGCCTGAGCTAAGTGAGACCCTGTCTCCCACCCCCCAAAAATCCTGTAACATTTTATTATATGACAGCCCTGAGCATCTGTGGATACTGGTATCCAAGCAAAGGAAGGGGTGGCTTCCAACTGATCCCCTTTTAAAGACTGAGGGATAACAACTCTATGAAGCCAGAGCGAGAGGAGCAGGTGGCAGACAGAACTGAGTGTGCTCTTCAGCTAGCCTTGAAATAGGGTTGTCTGGTCCATCTGGGGACCCGATGCTTTCAAAAGGGTCCTTAAAAGAGAGCAGAGGCAGGAGTCAGGCCTGCTGGCTCTGAAGAGGGAGCCTGGGCATCTTTAGAAGCCAGCCTTACCCAGCAGCACCTGGGCCCATGGACCCTCTGGACACCTCAGCTCCCTGCTGATGATGGCTGTGCAGCTCGAGTCATGGTGTGACAGGCAGAGCAGCCATGGCTATCAGCAGACAGTGTACGTCCCCTCTGCTCAGTATCCTAGCATCACACCAGCACTGGGAGGCCACGCTGCCACTGAAGTGGCCTGTGATGACAGGGCCAGTGTCCCTTGGGGCCACCCACAGCTCAGCCCTACTCCCGGTAGGTTGAAGCCCACCAGCAGATTTAGGGGTCTGTGAGGGAAAGGCACTTTGGGGAGGTCACCTGAAAGCTCTTAGGCCCAGGACTGCGCAGGTCAGACTGTCACATGTCCTCAGGAAAAGCAGGTGTCCAGACAGACGCATGGCCTGAAAGACAGACCACATCCAGGACACAGCTGAGTGTTTCAAATTTATTGACGTGATTTCCCATAGGATTATGGCCCAGAAGCACTCAACTGTGTCTCCTCCAAACAGGCCTGTGGCCTGGGAGAGTCCGGTGCTCATCCAAGCTGCTCTGGGGGACTCAAGTTACAGGAACCGAATCCCAGCTCCAAACTGGACGCCATCACAAATCCTAAAAAGAAAGGGAGAAGTCAAACCCGGCACCCCTATGTCATCTGCTAGCCCCCCAGTTCCGCCAGCGCCAGCGTTAGCAGAAGAGAGAGCCTCCGCTGCTCCAGGCCACCCGAAGGTCCGCCCACCTGCCAGGTGTCAGGAAGGAAGAGAAGCAGGAAGCCCACATGATGGGGCTGGCCCAGAACACAGGATGGTCCTGGGGCTCACAATGACCCAGCAACCCAGCCAGCCAGACCTGTTCCTGATCCAGGAAGGAAGATAAAAAGGGTTACCACAGGTGTGCTCTCTGGAGAGCTCAGCTCTGGGGTGTCCTGTGTGGCCCTTCTCATCCTGGCCAGGCCTGGCTGCGGGCAATGAACAGCCAGCTCAGTGTCCTCAAGACAAGGTTCCCGACATGCCACACTGGAACGTGAAGCTGTCTCTCACTCCCCTGCTGAGCAGCCCTTGTATTGGAGGAGAGCAGCACCCCTGAGGTTGAGGATCTGAGCCCAAGCTGCACAGTGCACCTGCACCCTCAGCCTAGGCTGCCCCTTCCACATTTTAGACCGAGTCCATAAAAGGGACCATGGCTGCTGTCACTGCTTTAGAGAAATATACCCAGTTCCTCAGAGAACACACGGGCATCAGTACAGCTCTGCTCCTACAATTGTGAACAAACCTAAGGTGTTTCTGCTGTGACACACATGTCACAGAGCAATAACCAGGGTGGCTACTCAGGATGGCACCCAGGGTCACAAGGCCAGGGCCCATCAGTCCTCTGCATACCCTGTGGGCCTGCTCAGCCTCTCCCTCTGGGCCAGGTGCAGGTTGCCTTCCTGCCTCACGGTGGCAGTGCTCACCCCTCACACCAGCCCCAGCAGTGGTCACAAGGAAAACCCACTGGTGCCTGCTCCCCCAGAGCTCTTCATCCTGGGGGTGCACTAAGCATGGGGGACAGCACTCACACCTGACAGGCACCGAGGGGAGGACATCAGTGCAGCTGGAGGGAGGGTGAGGAAGGAGGGGATAAAGAGCCTCACTTGTCAGCAGCCATTTCCTGGAGGCGTCTGCAACCCTGCATACTCTGAGCACCGATACACACCCCTCCCCAGGACAGCAGTGCCCAGTCAGGATGCCCTCCCCACCCTGCGTCCTCAGAAAGTCTCTTGCCCTCCCCAGCTGCAATGGTGCCCTTCCTGCAGCTCAGTGAGCAGCTGCAGCAGGCTGATTCAGCTGGGTCTCCAGAGAGATGACAAAACTCTTGGGTCCCAGAGAAGATGGCGCCATAAATCACTCAGGAGGGAGGTCAAAACACTTCAAACGGACTCCCTTTTGTAAAGGCCTCAATTGCCAATTACAGAGCACCTGGCTTAACCCTGGAGGCGGGGCTACAGACTGTCCACCTACCAACCGCCTAGTTTTAGAAACAAGATGAAATTGAGGTCATTTCTCTCAAATGTTATCAAATTCCACTCTTGCTAACAAAGCTGCAAGCCAAGCCACACCAGGGAAGGGTATTTCCTGTTCAAGGCTGACCCTGGACTTCACTGCCCACAGCAAACACCTGCTGCCACCGTCACAACGGCAAACAGCTGCAGCAGCCTGACTGGGCCTTCCCCCGCTTCAGCAGCAGGCTGCGTCTTTATGAAGGCTTGGTTCTGGGTTAATCTTCGAAACATGCTTCTCAGGTTTCACTAAGAGAGAGCTACAGCTGAGGGGTCTTGAGCTGTAAAGAGCACCCGTTAAATGGCCAAGCAAGCAGCTCAAAAGCAAAGTAACTGCTTGGCGCACACTGCCACCCTGTGGCTGCTGTCAGTATTACAGTAGATGGGCCACGAGAGTTGAGGTACTAAAATCAGCAGCAATGCCCACTGGAGCCCACCACACTCCCAAAGCGGATTGGCCCGGGGCACAGCCTGAGAAGCAGCTCCTGGGTTCTGGCTCTGACTTGGAGCCAACCTGCACTCACAATGCTTCCTGCAAGGCTTCCTGCAGGCATGGGCCTTGCAGCCAGCTGGCCACAGCTCCAGCTCCACCTGCATGGAAGGCTGCAGAGCTGAGCCCCATGCTGAAGGCATGGTGTGGACAAAGGACACCACTCAGGGATGAGAAGGGCAGGCCAGGACAACAACAGCAGTCTTGGGGTCACAGACACAACAGCCAGACCACACAACAGCAGGGGAGGAAACATCTATCCTTGAGTCGTCTGTCGCCTTCCACAGACCCAGGGTAGCTAAGTCCAGGCCTACCACAAGGTGGCACCTGGCATCTGCCCTGGGGAAGTGATCTAGCTTGGACAGTCATGTGGGTGGGGCCCCTGTGAGGGGGCTGGAGCCTGCGTAGAACACCCAAGCACTTGTACTGTCTCCCTGTGAGACTGCTTGTCAAGAAGGCGGCCCCGTGCAAGCCAGGCCCAGAGCCCTAGCCAGGAACTTCCTGCTAGCACCTGTCTTGACTTCTGGAGCCTTGCCATTTAAGCTTCCTGTGTATAATAATCCCTCTGGGTCTCCAGACAACTTTACAGTGCCTACAAGATAATGTAAGAGATGGGGTAACTTCTACAACCCTGAACAGCACTTGGCCAGATTCACCCACGACACATAGCCACTGCTCCACGTCCATGGGTGGAGTCCTCCAGCCACAGCTAAGCTGTAGCCAGCCCCAGGCCAGTGGTGGCACAGGGAAGTTCTACTGCATCACACTTCCAGAAGCAGGGTCAACTGCACCACACTTCCAGAAGCTCTACTCGCACCTGGTCAGCTCCTCGGAGCAGTAGAACCCACACTGTCCTGGGGACAGAAGCAGCCGTGTTCCAGGGAAGGGGTGGGCACCTCCCTTCCCCTCCAACTAAAAGAGAAACTCAGCAGAGGACCCACATACTTTCATCCTTCAGTTGACTATTCAATCTCTCCTCAAGTCCTGAACCTTAAAGCCACTCAAGTGACCAGCCCAGAGCAAACTGCAACCCCAGAGCTACAGAGCTGACAACGGCCCACCCACCTGTCACCCCGCTGCACGCCCATAGGAATGCAGTAGTTCAGCTCCAACCGAGCAATGTTGCCAAGCCGGAGGACGATGCCCGCTCCATAGGACCAGCGGATGCATTCAGCCAGCTTCCGGATGTGGGCTTTGGGGCCTTCGCCTGGAATAGCAAAGGTGGTATCAGATGTGTGGCTCCCTCCCTAGCAGGGCCCCTCGCAGCTGGGCCTAGCTAGTGGAGATAGGTACAGGATTGGGTATCTGCTTCCCACTCTCCCAGAGCCAGCTGAATGTCTCAATTCCCTGGGTCTGGCTATCCTGGCCCCTCTGCCTAAAAAAGCTCTCCCAGCAGAGCAGCTAGAAGGCCCTGCCACACCTCAGATAGGGCCCGAGGCTTCCCCATCTGTTCAGCTGTCTCCTGTGAGCACCTAATGATACCTGGGAGCACCTGAAGCTTGTTTGCAGAGAAAGAAGCAGACGCCCCTTACACCTCCCCCTTACACGATGGCATCATTAGGGAAGGCACCGCCCTGCATCAGGACTTGGAGCCGGGGCACACTCACCATAATTGAGGTTGCACAAGTTGCCCGCGTTGAGGAAAAAGTGGGTTCTGAAAAGCTCTCCGAAGCCACCCTGGCCTGGCCGGAAGGGCAGCGGGGTGTAGAGGTGCAGGCCCCCAGCCCAGTATGCCTCCCCTCCCAGGTAGTCTCCTGAGGAGGGAAACAGAATCTGCTGAGTCAGCTCTGTGGGGTCCTGCTTTAGTTCTGCCCCGCAGACCAGGCAAGGCCAGCCTCTCTCCTTTTCAGTGTCCTTCTACCCACACAGCTGAGTCAGGGCACCACAAAAGTACAAGGCTGCCATATGCCGTCTGCAGTGCCTGGAGTGTCCCTCCTCCTCAAGTGGCCACACTGAGCCTCCCTGTCTTTCACCATTACTGTTCTCTATCTGGCACGTCGGGACAGTGTCCACGCCCAGCTTGTCGGGGATGTCAGAGCCCAGGCTTTTGCCCAAAATACCCTGGTTTCAACACTGGAAGGCCAGGCCCGGAGAAAAGTTCCTTTTTGGAGTCAGTCATTGGCTCGAGTTACCCAGGAGAGGAAATCTCTGGGATGACTTCCCTCAGGCCTCAGCAGCTGCTTCCATCAGTCAGGGAAGTGTATGGACTCTGGGGGCCAGAAGCCCGAGCCTCGGTGAGTTGTCCTGCTCTGTGTACCCTCACCCTCGCCCTCGCCCTCGCCCTCGCCCTCCATTTCTCTTGCCACTTGGACGGCTCTTTGGAGCTGCCTGTGTTCCTTGTTCTGTGGCTCTTGCTGTTGTGGCAGGAAAAGCTTCAATTCTCTTAATTCCTTGTTGCTCACCAGCAGCAGGGAGGAAATTTAAGAAAGAAGAGAAGCAAGGGCCTCTGGGAGACCTTCAGTGTGGAACCCAGGGGATTCCAGCAGACCAGCCCTCCATAAAGGCCGCCAATTACCTTCCAGGATATTCCAAATGCATGTAGTTGCCATGTGTCTTTTTGAAAATATATATGAGGGCTGGAGAGATGACTCAGCTGTTAAAGGCTAGGCTCACAACCAAAAATTTAAAAAATGTGTATGAGAGCCAGGTGTGGTAGTACATACCTTTAATCCCAGCACTCGGGAGGCAGAGCCAGGAGGATCTCTGTGAGTTCAAGGCCAGCCTGGACTACAGAGTGAGTTCCAGGAAAGGCACAAAGCTACACAGAGAAACCCTGTCTCGAAAAACCAAAAAAAAAAAAAGATTGGGAAAACGTGGAAAGTGTAGTATATGATTTCATAATCAAGTCTTGGTTAAAGATGAATTCTAGCTCCTTCAGGAAGCTCAATTCCAAGGAAATAAGTAAAATAACTGGAGTGTGGTGGTGCACACCTGTAATTCCAGAGAAGCAAAGGTTCTGAGGGAGGTCGAAAAACCAAAAAAAAAAAAAAGAAACAAAAAACGGGCCCCCCCCCCCCCCCGAAGTGTTTGTCAGCCTATATGTCTCTACACCACAAGTGTGCAGCGGTTGCAGGCACCAGAGAAGCTCATCAGATCCCCAGAACTGGAGTTACAGACGGCTGTGAGCCATCAGGGGGGTACTGGAAACCCAGTCCTCTGGAAGAACAGTCAGTGCTCTTTAACTGCCGGGCCATCTCTCCAGCCCTCGGGTGTCATTTTGCATCTCAAACAAAACAGGTCCAAATTTAATCTACCTCCGTAATGCCTGAAAGTAACTGAGTACCAAACCTGGGGCTCCTTCATTTCATAATTTTCTGTTTTTTTTTCTTTAACTCATTGAGTGATTTGAAACAAATGTGGATGCATGTAAAAGCAGATGTTTTCAGGACAGCTTCTGAACTTGGAATTACAGCATTAGTGGATAGACCTATCATCCAGGTTTTTTTTGTTTGTTTGGTTTTGTTTTTGTTTTTGTTTTTTGGTTTTTCGAGACAGGGTTTCTCTGTGTAGCTTTGCGCCTTTCCTGGGACTCACTTGATTGTTTTTGTTTTTTTATTTTTGTTTTTTCGGGACAGGGTTTCTCTGTGTAGCTTTGGAGCCTGTCCTGAAACTCGCTCTGTAGACCAGGCTGGCCTTGAACTCACAGAGATCCGCCTGCCTCTGCCTCCGAGTGCATCACCACGGCCTGGCTTATTGTCCAGTTTAAACCAAACAAACAAAACAAATCTCAAGAAAATCACCTTATTCACAACCACAGATCTACATGGCTTCTACCTGGTGGCATTATTCGGCAAACCTTCAAAGCCAGAAGGCACGGGACAGTACATGGCTCTGCAGTCTCTGGGAGACAAGGCCTGCAGAGTCAGGGGTGTCCTAGGACACAGGGCAAAGGTCGCCCCCGGAGAGCAGGAACTGGCATGGCTGCTGGAAATGCTCTTATCCTTATACTCAACGAACGCCAACGCTGTTGCAAACTGGTATTTCCACTGCCTCAGTCCCCTCACAAATGACAGCCCATACAGAAGGAAAGTACTGCATGTCTCCAAGCCTAAGCTCACTGACCTTCACTCTGGGGTCCGATGCTGTGCATGCTAAATCCCCGGACGCTCGTGGGACCTCCCAGGTAAAACCTGCAGCAAAGTGACAGGTGTCAGTCAGGTCATTAGGGGAAGATCCACAAGATCCACAGCAAGTGAGACAGCAGCGGGGCCACAGCTGGCTCTGGACCATGACACTGTCTCCACACAGCAGAGCATTAGGAGAGGGTGAGAAAGACGCAAGTGAGCATGTGACACCACCCAACAGCAGCTCCTGCTGGGGATATGAGCAATGAGACACAACAAAGACACATGGGGAAAGTGAGCAAGGAGGAGCAGGACTATCCCTTATAAAGGGTGGGCAGCTGTCTAAGAGCCCACCACGAGGTTCCCTCTCCAACCAGACATCCTATGTGGCAGACACCCTCAGCCACATTAGGTTGAGAAGGCAGAGCCCACATCACATAACAGTGTGGCCCACCACAAGAGGGCCCAGATGATACTGGAAGGAAACAGACCACACAGAGCATTACTCTGGCTTTCTACAATGAATTGTACTATGTTCTAACTGCCAAGGATAGAACTCAGGGTCTCCCCAAAGATTAGTCAAGTTCCTCAAAGACACAATATCCCTGAGCTCCTGTGATACTTTTTAACTGGGGGAGGTTGTTCTAATTTTTTAGGTATTTCTATATCTATCCACCCATATCTACCTCTATCTATCTCTATCTATATAGATATGTATTAGAGAAGATCTCACTATGTAGTCCTGGCTGGCCTCAAACTCAAGAGATGCATTTGCAGCCGGGCGGTGGTGGCGCACGCCTTTAATCCCAGCACTCGGGAGGCAGAGCCAGGCGGATCTCTGTGAGTTCGAGGCCAGCCTGGGCTACCAAGTGAGTTCCAGGAAAGGCGCAAAGCTACACAGAGAAACCCTGTCTCAAAAAACCAAAAAAAAAAAAAAAAAAAAAAAAAAAAAAAAAAAAAAAAAAAAAAACAAGAGATGCATTTGCCTCTGCTCTCCCAAATACTGGGATGAAAAGTGTGCAATACTATGCCCAGCTAGGTTTAGTTTTCAGCGGTCAACCATATGCAAAGCTGTTCCGTGCCCTGGGAAGAGTGGTCCAAGAGGCTGAGACAGTGCACAGGGATCAGGGCTCCAGTTTTCCTGCCCCACAGAAGTCTCTCTAATGTGTCCATACAAACTCAGGGAGCTCAGAGGTCTACACGTGCTTCTACTGTCTGATTGCTACGCTTTCCTGAAAAGTCTGCTGACATCAATAACGCAGGCGGACAGCCAACTCTGGCTTGGGTGCTTCTTAAAGATTTCTTTTTTTTATGTGTAAGAGTGTTTTGCCTGCATGTCTGTGTGTGCACCACACACATGGCTGGTGCCTGAGGAGAGCAGAAGAGGGTGTGTGACCCCCTGTAACTGGAGTTACAGACATTGTAATCTACCACGTGGGTGCTAGATAGATCCCTGGAACCCACATGAAGAGTCAGATGCATAACGAGCAACTGTAATCCCAGCACTCCTATAGTGAGACGGACAGAGAGTCACCTGGAAGGTTGGGCCAGCAAGACTGGTATTTGCAGCACAACAGCAAAATCAATGAAAAACAATGGGGAAGGCTGTCTTCTGTCCTCCACACATGTACCAGGCATATCTGAATCTGCACACACATGCACAGGTGCACACACACAAAACGTTACTTCTGAGAACTTTCTCATGACTTGGTGAACAATCACTCTGTGATCTCTCTATAACATTTAACAAATGAGAATACAAGTTGCATATAAAATACAGTGTCTTCACAGCTCACTCTTTACATACATACAGACACACTCCTAACTAACCAAAAGGAGCCAGCCCAGGGTTAGGCAGACTTATCCTCTGGGAGGACTGAGCACCCTACTTTCTTAAATGTGCCTATATTTTCACTTCTACAAGTACTAACCAAATTCTTTCATCATAATAAAAAAAGAGAGGAAAATTCATTTATTTTTTTTTGGGAAGGAGGGTGCTTGAGACAGGGTTTCTCTGTGTAGACTTGGCTGTCCTGCAACTTTCTCTATTGCCCAGGCTGGACTCAAACTCACAGAGATCCACCTGCCTCAACTTCCCGAGTGCTGGGATTAAAGATGTGAGCTACCACACAGGGCTGAGAAAAAATTTAATACAACAAAAGCATTCTAACAGAAAGCAAGTGGTACTAAGTATGAGTACTGGGTACTTCAAAATCAGTTTCCACATGAAAACCAAGAGCAATCTGAATATTGCTCTCATCTGTTAAAAAACAAACAAAACAAAAAACCAATCCAAAGTCCCAGAGGAAGGCAGGTAGCCTCTGCTGGCACTGACCTGTCAGCAATGCTGGATGGCTTGTCACCGATGGGCACCAACATTCCACCCCAGAGAGACGTGGAGAACACCTGTGCGAAGGCAAACAGTGAGCACCAGCAGCGAGCTGGCTCCACTCCGAATGCCCCTGCTGTGCAGAGCAGGGCACCAGCGGGACACGGGGACCTGGGGATGCCCCTGCTGAGCAGAGCAGGGCACCAGCGGGACACGGGGACCTGGGGTTGTGAGGCTGGAGAACTCGGTCAGGCAAACTGAAATTCCAACAGTCACACAGAAGTACAGCAGGGCTTAGCTTGTGTTCCAGCCAGGACAGGCCCCTTATGCATGAGAAGTCACACCCACGGGACAACCTGATAAGGAAGGTAGCCAGGAACCTGGATATGAGATCCTGCAACTGTTCGGACCCCAAAATCTGAGGAGACTGAGGTACGCAGCTCCTCAGGCTGAAGGTCTCTACAGGCTATGGTGCTCCTGCAATCACACAGTGTAAAGACGTGTGTCTAGCTCTCCTTCAGGGGCAGCACCGTCCAGTAAGGGGGCTCAGTGGCACACTCTTTAAATCGTGTAGGTCACCCCCAGTCCTACTGAGTACCACTGCTGAGCTGGAGGCCCTCACTCAGCAGCCCCAGGCCCTCATGGTGTCAGACTGGCCAGAGCCTCTGCTCCTCTTGGTCCTTCACCTGTCCTGTCCTTGCCAACTCCACACTGCTCAGATGGTCTTTTTCTAGATGCTTCAGTGGGAAGGACTACAGACAGAGAGTGGAAGAGGGCAGGCAGAGCCACAGAGCACACAACAGTCCCATACAGCATGGCAGGATGAAACCTCCCAACTTCACCACTGTCTGGTGGCACACTCACGTGCCCATCTGTTGGTGTGGCACTCTGAAGCCACACACACTACACTACACTTGGTTAAAGTCACCTCTGCCGTAGACTAAGGGAAGGACTCCAGTCTGATGAAGGCTGAGCTAGCTATTCAGCTGGTTACCACACTTCAGACATTTTCAACTTAGCAGTAGGTTTACTGGGAAGTGACGCCATCAGGAAGTAAGTCAAGAAGCACCCATGCTCTACTCGGACATTTCCAACTAGTGGGCGCCACACAGTGGGCTGCATGGGGCTCAGGCTCTGACCCTGAGACATTGCTTCCATCCCTAGTCCTTTTCTGGGCTGAGACCTGCCTCTGCTTCCTGGAGGCAGACTCTTTCCTCAAAGGCCTCAGCAGACTCCCAGACCTGCCCACCCCACCTGTACATCCCACTACCTCTGGCCTAGAAGGCAGCTTGCCGGCTCCTGAGAAGGGCAGACCCCCACTTTCCTTCTTTCTAGCCCTACACGGGCTCCCACTCAGAGGCATCTATACTCCACATTCCCACCAGCAGACAAGGTCCCAGTTCTTCCTGCCAGAGCCAAACATCCTGAGTCCTGTACCCTCCTCTTATCTACCCATCTATCTATCTACTCATCCTTCTACCATTCACCTATCTATCTATACGTTCTCTTACCCACCCATTTATGTGCCCATCCATCCATCCATCCATCCATCCATCCATCCATCCATCCATCCATATATACACACATCCATCCACCCGCCCACTTTCCCTCCACACAGCACTTGTAGATGCCTCGAAAGAGCCATTCTGCTGTTTCATCCCCGTTCTCTCCTGTCTCTGAAAATAAGCATTTTAGTTTGAAGAGCCTCAGCTTTAGAGGTACGGCCCAGATCCCAGGGCTCTTCCTCAGTCAGTCTCTCTACAAAACCGAGGGACCAACTACCCTGATCTTCACTCCTTGCTCAACTCTGACCTTGCAGACACCAGCTCTCCACTGATGCCTCCTCCTCCTCCTCCTCCTCCTCCTCCAGGAGTCAGCTGGGTGCCATCCACAGTAAGCCATTCCCTTCACTGGCAGCCACTGTCCCTCTCCTGCCCCCTACTCACTGCCTCCCCCAACTCTGTCTATCTCGACCACCAACCTCCTGCCCCCTTTACGTTCTACCCCCATGCTCCCACCTCCTGGAGTGCCTGGCAGCCAGGACGTAGGTGTGAGGTGGGGGAGTGGGTGGTGGACAGGATGACTGGGTGGGGTGATGAATGTGTAGGTCAGTGGGTGGGCACACAAATGGGGAGTAAGAGCATGTACAGAGGGACAGGTGGGTGGACAGATGTGAGGACAGATGAGTGGGTAGGCGGTCAATGGACTGACTGACAGATGGGTGCTTCTATAAAATAAGTACAGCGGCGCCCTCCAGCCCTCAACCCAGGCAGGAAGACAGGAGAAGGTGGCTGGAGCCACGCCTGTGCCAAACTCCCAGAAGCCTGGGGTAGGAGGTCATGTGGGCAGGTGACAAAAGGATGTCACAGCAGCAGAAGGCAGATGAGGGACAAGTGCCTGTGAAGGAAGAGCCTCATCCCCAGAGAGCAGCCTGTGAGGCCAGCATGGGCAGAGGAGCAGCAACGAAACTCAAGGCACTCCAGGCACCAGCCTAGAGCACAAACTCCCAAGAAAGCAGAGGCAAGGTGTGCATGTAGGGGAGCTCAGCTGGGGGATGGGAGGAAAGGGGGTGCGGGAAACTCAAGAGCATGTTCCACACCACAGGCACAAGAGGCAGCAGAGTCTGAGCAGGGCCAGGCAGACAGGAAGGGATGATGGGGGGAGTTCTGTGATGACTCTGAGAATGAGGACCCAGCGCAGCCTGGCAGGTCACACCCATGCTGACCACAGGGCTCTTAAGCCCTGTGAGTAAAGCATCACAGCACTGGGCTAACATCAGTGCTTTGGGCACTCAGCACCCCGAGGTGAAGGGTGACCCCACAGGCACAGCAGAGGCTGGAGACTCACCGAATCCAACATGAGCGGCTTATTCAGCTGGAGTTCAAAGTCTTCCTTGAGGAAGCTCACATCCCCTCCAGTGTAGCCTGCCAGCTCCTGAGGGAAGAGGGCAGAGGTCATGGAGACACAGGGGCTGCTAAGCACTGCCTCTGCAATGACAGTTTGCTGGTTGTGCCTTTCAGAAGGCCCTGGCCTGCTCAGCATCTGGAAAGAGTCAGCCGCATTCATGGCAAGGACATTTTACATACAAACCTCACCACTCACTGCTCCTCTGAAAATGAAGACTGGGCACCCAGGGTCCTGCCTGCACCATGAGCAGCAGGATGAGATAGGCTGGACCACCACAGCCCACAGGGTGTTACCCAGGTCCCCTGTAGCTTCAGGGCAGCTGACCACACCACTTTTTAAGGTACTCAACACTACTCCCATTGGCCCCAGCCTCCGCACTGTGCATGAGAGCCCTGTGCACACTTCATTGGCTCTGGTGAGAACACTACCTGGTTGACTTTGAGCAAGGCCCCTCTTCTCGGCAGGATAGATGAATTCCGAGAGTCGATGACCATGGCATGCTGAAAGGAATGAATGGAGCATACTTTCACTTCAAGCAGCAACAAGGACAATAGAACTTGCTGTGCACTGAGGGCTGGGGCTGTCTGAGCATGCTCACAGAGCTTCACCTGCTCCTGCCTTCCCAGGATGGCACAAAGTTCTAAGATGGCCTACCCAAAGACACCAGAGAGTTTCCCACTGACTCTGACCAGCCTTGTTCCCTCACAGAGCAGAGCCCCACCCTAAGTCAGCTCACTGCCTTTCTTTTAATTTCTGGAAGGTAAAATTCCACAGCCAGCTCTTAAACACATGTCTGTCTGTTTCCACTGATGTTACTTACAAAACATAGTAAGAGGCAGTGGAACTGGAGGCCACTGTCCCAACCACCCAGTTGACACCTCAGTGTCCCCCAGTCAGCCCCATATCAGCAGAGACTAGCCAATGGGCCACAGGGTTCTGTCAACACATTTCTCCAGCCAGAGAGCAAGTCTTACCGAGAGGGACGACTTCAGTGAGTGTCCGCTTTCCTTCCGCACAGCGAAGGATGCAGTCCTTGAGAGGCAGCCCAGTTCCCGCCACACACCCTCCCACTTGATGGTGTGACTGGTCTTCCATATGGGAAACTGTAAAGGCACGGAAGGAAGCTTGTTCTGCACTGTTCACACTGGAACAAGCTGCTGCAAAGCATCCTTTGAAATGAGGCATCACTGAGTAACACTTGGCATTTTTTTTTCTCAGCACCAGGGATGGATCAGGCCCTTCCTGGCATTTGATCCTCCCTAGCCCAGCCCCAAGATAAACTGCTTTAAATGAAAGGAAATAGGGGAGAAGGAGGAACAGAAGAGGACACAGGAAGGAGATGGGGAGGGCTGTAAACTGCACCAGAGCAGTGCTACTCTGCTGCAGGTGAAGGAGCAGGGCCACACCCAAAAGCTAAGGGGACTCTGTCAACAGCAGGTGTCAGCCTCATCACAGTAAGACACACAGACGACGTGACACACCCGCTCAGCCCGTGACTGGCTGAAGGCAGACCCGGTAACCTGTCATCTGGATGGTGTCAGCCCCAGAAGAACAAGGAGACCAAGCCATATGGGGCCAAGGGCTTTCTTCCCACACCCAGAGGGAACACGCAAAGCCAGGTCCTGGGAGCCTGCCCCTCAGCAGGCCTGCCCCTAGCTCAGAACATTCTATCTAGCTCAGAACATGACATTCTGTCTGAATGTCATGATGTCAGGGAGCTTTGGGAAGTAGCTGTGACTTCACTCACAAGGACACCAGGTACCAAGCTTCCCACAGAGCAGTCTTCCCAGCAAGCTCTGCAGCCTGCAGGCCTGGAGGAAAACACGAGGCCACTGATAATAAGGAGACACACTAACTGAAGTCCAGTACACAAACTTGGTGTGCAAGAGTGTAGACCAAACTTGCCCATCTCAGCACACTGAAGCACTGGGCAGGCCAGAGGAGTGAGTGCAGCGAGGCCCTGGCTGTCGGGGCAGCAGCCAGGCTCAGCAGTCACTCTACACGAGGGTCCCAAGACTCAGGCCTTCCCCAGATGTCTGCCAGAAGTGAAGCTTCCTAATCAACTCTTTCCTACAACACAGGGCTGCTCTTAGCGAGCAAGCCACTCACTCAGGGAGACACATTGCTGTCTCCACAGTAACCATCAGGATTGACAGGGTCAGACAGTGAACCTATGGTGCCCAGTGATACTCAGGGTGGCCTGAGACACAGCCAGTGCTGCCCAGCCTTGTCCTTAGCCCACGCCAACCCCACATCACTCTATACTCCAGTCCCTGTGTGTCTACTGTTCCATGTGGAAAGTAACCCTGACTCCTTCAGGATGTGCTGTCTAAGAAGCTTAGGGGAAAACAAAAGGGAGTACCAGGGAGAAAGGTGGGAGAAAGCACCGGGTGCTACAGTCAGTCAGGAGCACAGATGTCATGTGACCAGAGCGGACACCAGCCAGGTCTGTCCCCTGCTTACCTGATTAGCCAGGAGGAGGCCATCAAGGGGTGAAAAGTCCACACTCACCCACCCGTCTCCCTCTCGAGTGAATGAACACACTGCCCGCAGGGCCTGGTGTACTCACACTGTACTCGGCAGACACTCCTCGGTCGGTCTCCCGGAGTGAGCTCCACGGGAACTGCCCAGTAACTTTATATAAGTTTACAGAGAAACTAGGAGGCAAGGGAGGAAGAGAGCTTTAACAGAGGGTCTGTGCACAGGGCTTGCACACAGCTACACTATGGGCCCCATTAGCTACACCGGGGCTCCTCCTCAGGGCAGCAGCCACAGGGGAGCTGGCTGGCAGCCAGGGGCCACTTCACACTCAAGCCATCTACTTTAACTTTTAAATCAGGTCACTGAGCTCAAGGACCTGCTTGGCTTCCTACTTTCTCTCGAAGTTTCCAGGCTGTGGTTTGAAGAACGACAGGCCGTAGGAAGTTTCTTTGGTTCCGTAAGAAAACTGAAAAGTCACTTTTTCTGCACGTCCTAGGAGATTGGGGAGCTTGAGGCCAAGGACCTATGGGAGAGGAAAGGATGAAGCTGGCCCTGGACCAGTGTAAACAAGGCTCAAGTATCCACAGCCTTTGTTTCTTACAAGACGCCCTTGCCAATTACACAGCATCCCACACAGGCTGACCACCTGGGAAACTGGAAGGCAAAAGCCTCCCACTTCAACCCCAAACCTCCTCCACCGAAGCATAAATGAACCTAAACAAGACCATTAATGTGCTCATCTGTCCTAGCACCAGGATTAGCATCGCTACCAACAACTCCATGCCGACCAGTTAGTTCTAGGAGGTTAAAGGGAAACTGTAGATGACACCCGAGTCCCTAAGCCTGCAGGTTCCAGAGCAGCTCCTTGTTTTTTCCAAAGGGCACAGCTCCAAAGCTTACACTCGAGAGAACTCTAACAGTGACAGAAGTCATGTCCTACCATACTGCCTTCATTATTGCCGACCATGGTGTTGTAACTGCCCGTCAGCCTCCTCAGCTCCGTCACTTCAAAGGTGACATCTAATCCATTCGGCAGTGCATCATCACCTAAAGAAGTACACATTTAAAAGGGTCAGCATGGCTCGGTGGGTAAAGGCAACTGCCACCATGCCTGCTGACCTGGGCTTGATTCCCAGGACCCACATGGTGAAGGAAAGAACTGACTCCGGCAAGTTGTCCTCTGACTGCCACATATGTCCCCCCACACATATGTGTACACATACGTACACACATACAAACCAAAACACACTTCTATACCTAACACTGGAACGTGTACCCAAAACACACCTCTATACCTAACACTGGACCCTGCTCTCTGTTCCAGATACAGCCCAGCTGGGAATGTGTCCTCCCTAGGGAGGCCTTTGAAAATGTTCTGAGTCCCATCTAACCAACAACAAAGGATAGGATTCATATGATGGTAAGGATTTCAGTAACCTAAGAGAGACAAGCAACACAGTACAGTTGAATATCCTCATCCAGCAGGGTGTGAGCAGTGTCTGAGCTGGAGGGTTCTATTTCACAGCCAACCAAGGCATGGAGTGCTCTGCAGAGCGAGGTCAAACCCTGCATGGCTGGGGTGGGATCTCAGACTTGCCTTCCGCCCAGGGCACCTGCTGGGTGTTTCCGCTAGACACCTGCACAGCCATCAGGAATGGAGATATCCACATGGTCTCCACAGGCTGAGGCAGGAGGCACAGGGTGGAGCCCTGGCACTGTTCTGGTTTTTATTTTTATTATTTACTGTTTTTACTTTTGAGACAGGGTCTCTCAATGTAGTCCTAGCTGGCCTAGCACTCACATGTAGCGTAACCTGGCCTTAAACTCACAGAGAACCTCCAGTCTCTGCCTTCCGAGTGCTGGGACTGAAGGCGTGTGCCACCACACTAAACCCTCCTTCTCTTTTCTTTTCTTTTCTTTCTTTTGGAAGACTTTACTTTTCAGAGTAACAAAAGGCAGAGTTCCCATCAACCCTTGCTGCTCTGACACGTGCTCCCGCTATTAACACCTCACATTCACGAGGTTCGTTTGTCCCAACCGTCAAGCTCACAATGCACAGCAGGGTCAGTGACGTGTAGTGTGACGTGTGCTCAATGACAGGTTTAGAATGCCCTAGGGCAGCCTCTGCTGTCAGGTAATTCTACAGCTGAAGTCACGGCCAGAGAGGAGAGCTGACCAGTGCAAGGCCATGTTCAACAGGGACTGGAGAGAGCTGAAGCCACGTGCCATCAAATGGTCACTGAACTGACCCTGGGGAGGCGGGGCAGGCCTGCATGCTTGAACTCTATCATTCACTACTGGGCCAGAGACAAGTTACCGAAAAGGCCCAGAGCCTCCACTTCATAAGTGAAGTGTATCTGAACCCGCACCAGTGTCCCCAGGTGCTCCCATCAGCTCATCAGTGGGTCCTGAGCTTCACCACAAATTAGATCACTGGTCCCCACCCACCCCTCTGCTGCTACCACCCCTCTGCTGCTATGAAACCCACAGGTGTATCTTTAGAGATGGCTAACTGACTCCAAGACCTGCCCGAGAAACCTTTGGGTGCACTCTACATCTAACCACATGACTGTTCTATGACCCTGGAGGCTACATGGTGGCATCAGAAAGATAATCTCTATGGTACCTACCATGACACGTGTCGATCAAAACATCCACTTGCCTAAAAATTCCTAGGCGAAGCAGTTTTTCACGGGCTTCATGAGATTTCCGCATTACCTGGGAGAAGGACAGACAACAGAGAAGGAGCTCTCCTAAGACACAGGAGCCCTGAGAGCCATGTGACCTGTGAGTGTATGCACTGAGAGGTGCACGTAGCAGGAAATGTCTGTGAAATACCGAGTAGCAATGTAGTGGGCAGGAATACACCTGGGGCTCAGCAGAGAGGAGTGAGCTTGGGGGGCCCTGAGCACTGAGCAAAAACCACAGCATGTAAGAGCAACACTCTGGGGATGGACCCAGGGAAAAGCTGACAACAGAGTTGAGAGGTGAACCTGACTGAGATGGAAAGCAGCCAGCAGAGGAGTACCCAGACACAGACAGCAGTCAGGAGAGTGAGTACCCAGACACAGACAGCAGTCAGGAGAGTGAGTACCCAGACACAGACAGCAGTCAGGAGAGTGAGTACCCAGACACAGACAGCAGTCAGGAGAGTGAGTACCCAGACACAGACAGCAGCCAGCAGAGCGAGTACCCAGAGACAGACAGCAGCCAGGAGAGTGAGTACCCAGACACAGACAGCAGCCAGCAGAGTGAGTACCCAGACACAGACAGCAGTCAGGAGAGTGAGTACCCAGACACAGACAGCAGTCAGGAGAGTGAGTACCCAGAGACAGACAGCAGTCAGGAGAGTGAGTACCCAGACACAGACAGCAGTCAGGAGAGTGAGTACCCAGACACAGACAGCAGTCAGCAGGGTGAGTACCCAGACACAGACAGCAGCCAGCAGAGTGAGTACCCAGACACAGACAGCAGCCAGGAGAGTGAGTACCCAGACACAGACAGCAGTCAGGAGAGTGAGTACCCAGACACAGACAGCAGACAGCAGGGTGAGTACCCAGACACAGACAGCAGCCAGCAGGGTGAGTACCCAGACACAGACAGCAGCCAGGAGAGTGAGTACCCAGACACAGCCAGCAGCCAGCAGGGTGAGTACCCAGACACAGACAGCAGCCAGCAGTCAGGAGAGTGAGTACCCAGACACAGCCAGCAGACAGCAGAGTGAGTACCCAGACACAGACAGCAGTCAGCAGAGTGAGTACCCAGACACAGACAGCAGTCAGGAGAGTGAGTACCCAGACACAGACAGCAGACAGCAGGGTGAGTACCCAGACACAGACAGCAGCCAGCAGGGTGAGTACCCAGACACAGACAGCAGCCAGGAGAGTGAGTACCCAGACACAGACAGCAGCCAGCAGGGTGAGTACCCAGACACAGACAGCAGCCAGCAGTCAGGAGAGTGAGTACCCAGACACAGACAGCAGCCAGCAGGGTGAGTACCCAGACACAGACAGCAGCCAGCAGTCAGGAGAGTGAGTACCCAGACACAGCCAGCAGCCAGCAGGGTGAGTACCCAGACACAGACAGCAGACAGCAGAGTGAGTACCCAGAGACAGAAAAGGCCAAGGATAACAGGGAGAAAAGGTAACAAACAGAAAAAACACCCAACACTGGTGACGAAATGACACAAAGAGCTCTTGAGAATGAACAAAGGATGAGAACACATAGGGAAACGTGCTTCACAGCGAGAACCCAGGCACATGTCTGTAATCCCAGCACTCAGAGGCTAAGGCTGCAAGAGCTAAAGAGGGAGACCAGCCCAGTGAGACACATAGTGAGATGTTGTCTAAACAAACAGAAAAGGAAAGCAAACCAAAACAGAGAGAGGTGAATGACAAAAATTTAAAAAGAAAAAAAAGTATTTGAGGGCCAGAGAGATGGCTCAGTGAGTTATAGTGTTTGCTACAAGGTCCGAGTTTGATCCCAGGGACATATATACAAATCAAAATAATGAAAGAGCACTCTGTCTAACAGATGGCAAGACCTCAGAATGTGGCTCTCAGCTCTGGGGAGTGGACCTTCCCTATGCCCCTGTGGAGGTACGGAATGGTGAATCTCCTTGAAGACCAGCACGCTGACCCTTGAAGTGATAGAGCATGCCCTTTGACCTAGTAACCCACCCTCCTGTACTGTGCATGCTCTGACACAGCAGTAAAATGCTGACTGCACAGCCATCGTGAGAGCCAAGCACTCAGTTTTGTTACTGTCCACCAACAGAGACAGCAACGATTCAGTGTTTGCAGTGTGGCTTCTCAGACATATAGAGAGGACTGCCCTCACAGTGACAAAAAAGAATGCTAGTGCTCCCTGATACCTGGGTTCATCCTAGTGAGTGACACACTTGGAAGGACATGGTGGAACCTGAGCTGGCCTCTGGGAGCCGTCAAGCAGTGGCAAGGCAGTGTGCACATTCACACCAAAATGCTCTCCACCTGTACAGTTTACACCTCTTTATGCAACTGAAACACCACCTTTTTTTTTTTTTTTTTTTTTTGGTTTTTCGAGACAGGGTTTCTCTGTGTAGCTTTGCGCCTCTCCTGGAACTCACTTGGTAGCCCAGGCTGGCCTCGAACTCACAGAGATCCTCCTGGCTCTGCCTCCTGAGTGCTGGGATTAAAGGCGTGCGCCACCACCGCCCGGCTGAAACACCACCTTTTAAACACATAAACTTTTGCTTGTCGCTTTGCCAACACTGCTCAAGGTTGCAAGAGGAGGCAGAGGGAAGCCAACCGACCTGGCCACAAGGACACCACTTATGATCTGTTAGGCAGCTCAGTGTCATCCAAGAGCAGGACAGAAGGAAGCCACAGGCAACTTGCTACTGCAGCACAGGAAAGTATCTGTGCAAGAGAGCAAGGGCCTGGGTGATGTGCAGGGTATCCACAGAGGATCTCAGGGCTCTGGGAAGGGCCTGGGTGATGTGCAGGGTATCCACGGAGGATCTCAGGGCTCTGGGCAGGGCCTGGGTGATGTGCAGGGTATCCACGGAGGATCTCAGGGCTCTGGGCAGGGCCTGGGTGATGTGCAGGGTATCCACGGAGGATCTCAGGGCTCTGGGAAGGGCCTGGGTGATGTGCAGGGTATCCACGGAGGATCTCAGGGCTCTGGGCAGGGCCTGGGTGATGTGCAGGGTATCCACGGAGGATCTCAGGGCTCTGGGAAGGGCCTGGGTGATGTGCAGGGTATCCACGGAGGATCTCAGGGCTCTGGGCAGGGCCTGGGTGATGTGCAGGGTATCCACGGAGGATCTCAGGGCTCTGGGCAGGGCCTGGGGACAGCTCTGATGCTGAGAGTCAGCAAGAGTACAGGGCAGATGGAGCAGACAGGAGGACAGACTCTGCCTTCCTCAGGATGAACAGAGGTAAGAAGAGCAGAAGTTTGTGTGAGCTGTGGGAGGTGCTCTACAGGCTGGGGGCCCTCTGTGGTGAGAGGCTGCGGGCAGAGCTGGGGGTAGTCTCTGACTCTTCACAAATTACAGGCAGAGAGTGCCACGCAGAGAAACTTACCTCAATGAGGTTTTTAGCCTTAAAAACATCTCCGATTTCACAAATGATGATGTCATCCTTAGTCCGTCCAAGTCCATCAAAATGAACATGCTGAACCACCACCTAATGTAAAAAGGAACAGAGGTCACCACCCCCAGCACAGGAGTGAAGCCAGAGGCAGGGTCTGAGACAAAGGGCAAGGTCTCTTCAAGGGTAATACCTGGACTTCTTACTCCCGACTTCATTCTTTTTCCAATTTTACGTGTGTGGGTGTTTGCTTACATGTATGTCTGCACAGCATCTGAGTGCCTGATGCCTACAGAAGACAGAAGGCAGCTTCCCTAGAACTGGAGTTACAGACGGTTATGACCTGCCATGTGGGTGCTGGGAGTTGAACCCGAGTCTTCTGGAAGAGCAACACTCTTAACTTCTAAGTCATCTCTCTAGCCCCTGTATTTTTTGTTTTGTTTTGAGCCCCTATATTCTTATTTTAAGATCTAGCCTTTGCCAGTCTGTACTGCCCATGAATGAGCTCTGGCCTCTCCAGCCTGAGAACCCAAGATCATGTGGGTCCTGCACGCTTATAAGCAGTGAGGCCCAGTCCTTTTAACATGGCCAAACCCAGCCTCTGACGTGGGATGAAGATCCTTCAGAGATGTCACAAAGCAGGTAAAGAATGATCCTTGAGGGCTGCAGAGATGGCTCAGCGGTTAAGAGCCCTGACTGCTCTCTCAGAGGACCTGGGTTCAGTTCCCAGGACCCACATGGCAGCTCACAACTGCCTCTGACTCCAAGATCTGATACCCTCATACAAACATACATGCAGGCAAAATACCAATGCCCATAAAATAAAAATAAATAAATTGAAAAAAAAAAGATCCTTGACTTTTCTGAGAGAAAGGAACATAAATACAAACTCAAGGACTGGGGCTGTGGCTCTGTAGTAAAGCATTCGTCTGGAACGCAAGAGGTTGCTGGGCATGATGGTGGTGGTGGCGCATACCTTTAACACTCAGGAGGTAGAGGCAGGCAGATCTCTGTGAGTTGGAGGCCAGCCTGGTCTACAGAGTGAGTTCCAGGATAGACAGGGCTACACAAAGAAACCCTGTCTCAAAGAGCAAAAACAAAAACAAAAACAAACCCAAAACAAACAAAGGATGCAAGAGGTTTGAGAGGTTCTGGGTTCAATGCCCAGTACCACCAAAAATTATACATGTATATAGACTTAAGCATAATTTGAGTCTATCCTTGAAAAACTTTTAAAATTTTATTTTATGCATTTGAGTGTTTACCTGCATGCATGTCCTTGTATTACATGTGAGCAATGCCTGGGGAGGCCAGAAGAACCATTTTATCTTCTAGACTCTAGAATCTAGAGCTAGAGTTACAGATGGTTTTGAGCCACCATCTGAGTACTGGAAACCAAACCCTGGCCATGTGCAAGGACAACCAGTGCTCTCAGCCACTGAACAATCTCTCCAACCATGAGAAACACCAACTGTCATCCAGGAAACCCTGAGAAACAAGGAGCTTCTGTCCTGAAGCCAAGTCTTTCTGCTTGCAATTGGTGACAGGAGAGCTCCTTTACTTCTCCATAGGGCCTTACTAAGAGAATATTCCAGAAACAACCATGTCAAGATGTTCCATAGAATACTCACATCTTTGTTTTCCAGAATTTCCTGTTTCGCTTCAGGTTCAACTTCCACAAACTCAGCTTCTTCCCCCAAACCTCCAAAGTCAGGTCCACTGGCCGGAAGAGGCTCCAAACTCTGCAAGGGATGGAGGAACGAGAGACAATTGAACTGACAATGAAAACAAGTCAAGCTCCACCTTTCAGCTTCAGATGGTGCCACAAAATGCAGCACAGCTGCCCCCTTGGTTGTGTGGGGTAGGTGGGGTAGAGACAGGATGGGAAATAGAAAGGCAGGTAAGCTGATGGGCAGGTGCAGGCCCTAGGGGCAGGGCTTAATAACCGTGTTCACTGGGTTATTAGTGAGTAAATAAAGATTTCAAAAGAACTTGCAATGGGCCAGAAAGCAGGCACTTTCCACAACCCGAACTGTGTGGCACTGGGGACTGAACCAGGTACTTTCCACAACCGGAACTGTGTGACACTGGGGACTGAACCTAGACCTTTGCACATGCTGGCCAAGTACTCTCCACCACCAAACTATATTCTTGAACTGTCTGAACTTGTTTTTTCCTTTTCTTTAGTTTTCTGAGACAGGGTCTCTCCTCAAATGCACTGTGCAGCCAAGGCGCCCCTTGAAATTCCTCCCGAGCCTGCCCCTGCTTCCTAGTGACAATATGAATTGTCACCACCTCAGACCACCACAAAGCCAGCCATGGTGGCATGTGGCTATAATCCCAGCACCAGGAGGCTAAGGCAGAAGGGATCCTATCACTAAACAAGTAATCACAAGAGCAACTTCTTAATAAGCTTTCTGGGGGCAGGGTCTGGGTGAGCATAGCTGAGAAGACTAGAAAACAGTTATATACACATAACATACACATAGTACAGTGTTTCATCTGTGTGTGCATGGAACATGTAATCGGGTGCTTTCGATCACCAATCTGTTCCTGTAAGTGAACCCCCTAAGTTACTGGGGCACTTAACGGCAGAGAGAGCCAGGCATCCCTGAAGTGAACTCAGAGTGGCAATTCAGAGGACTGTCAAGAACAGGCAGGCAGTATCTGGCTACTTCCTACTCCATGCTTGTCTGCAGTCATATTCCTCTACAGTACACAAAAGTGCTGACATCTGCAGAGCAAAGAGACCCTGGGACTGCCATCCCCTTCTCCTTTCCCTGGAGTACTTAAGGGCCTTCTGCCACAGGCACCCTGTACACAGACTCTGCATCAGGATAAGGAGCACAACAGAATCATGACTGCTCCCACACCTGCGCTAAAGACTGGTCCTCAGACTCCCATCCAATATAAGTACCTTCATTGTGAGGCCATGTTGGCTCCCTGAATAGTCTGAAGATCCACCTTAAATGTATCTTTGGGGGAGGTGAGGTACTAAGACAGGTACTCAGGCCTTGAATTTACTATAATTCTCCTCCATTCTCCTGAATGCTGAGCCACCATGCCAGGCTAAATACCAGTTCTGAGTGTGAGTCATTCTGACTGACTGACTGGCTGGCTGGCTGACTGACTGTGCGTGCAGGGTCAGAATCAGGGTCTCACATACCCAGGGATGGCCTCAAACTCACTACATAGCCAAGAAGAGTCTTGAACTCCTGATCCTCCTGCTTCCAACTCCCAAGTTCCTGGGATTATAGCCACCATGCCTGAGTCCAAAGGGACACCTCCTCTTAAATGTTAGAAATTCGTGGCTTCAGACAGGTTTCCCTTTTTTGTACTCAATTCCTAGTCACAGGATACTGATTAAATACAATTTTCGTTTGTTCTTTTACTTAACAAAACCACCAAGTCTCTGTGGTGGAAGGAAAAAAGAAAAGCAGCTGTGCCTCGAACCCCAGGACCTGTGCAGATGTAGGGCTGTGAGTTCAACACCAGCCTGGGTTTTGTACTTACCAAGGACGACAAAGGATACATCATTTCATGTCATTACCCACTGGTTTTTGTTGTTAGTGTTTTTAAAACTAAATCACTATTAACTTTTCCTAAGTATGGAAACACTATTAGGCAAAGCAGGAATGTGCACATAGATCCATTCTTAATCCAACAGTAGGCAAATATGCCTTGTTGGGCTGAATTTGCATTCCATTATTCTAAAAAATCCACTCACCTCATATTGTTTGTTTTTTGTTTTCAGACAGGATCTCACTATGTAGCCCCAGCTATCCTAAAACTCAGTAAGCAGATAGGGCTGAGGTCAAGGGCATGCACCATCATGCCTGGCAAATAGATCTATAATCCCAGCTACTCAAAAGTATGAAGGATTCCAAGTTCCAGGCCAGCCTGGCCTACAGAGTGAGTTCAAGGCAGGCCCTGACAACCTAGGAAAGGCTATCTCAGAATTTAAAAATATTTAAAGAGATCTACAGATATAGCTTAGTGAGTGCTTGCCTGGAAGGTACCTGCAGTGCTAGGGAGGACCCTGCCTAATAGGTTCCTACAGTATTCAAGAGAGTACTGGAAAAGTAATTTGAACCAAGTCCCAAAAGATGTGACTATTTGGATAGGTAAAGCTGGGTGTGGACATGAGCGATAGGCGAGGGACTAAGCCCAGGACGACAGCACAGTTCAAAGAGTGTGTCACAAGTGCAATGGTGTGTGTGTGTGTGTGTGTGTGTGTGTGTGTGTGTGTGTGTGTGTGTGTGTGTGTGGTGTGCCCAAGTCTGGAGGCCTTGGGCTAAATGCTGTTAGAATTAAAGGGACACCACCAGAAAATGAGTCACAAGGCAAGTGATGCTGTCCACACTGTGTGGTGCTACGCCCAGGACTCCATTAGTCTTGATTTTAGGACATTTTAAGGCTCTGTGACTCTGGACAGATGACTCATTCTCTGGCCTTTGGGAACAATTACAAAATGCGGTAAGCATCCAACTACTTATTCAGTAACACTAACTTAGTTGGTTGGAACTAAGGTACTGCACTGGGCCCAAAAGACCACCACCAAAAAAATAAAATAAAATAAAATAAAAAACGGAGCCGGGGTGGTGGTGGCATACGCCTTTAATCTCAGCACTCTAGAAGCAGAGGCAGGAGGATCTAAGTGAGTTTGAGGCCAGCCTGGTCTACAAAGCAAGTTTCAGGACAGCCAGGACTGTTAAACAGAGAAACCCTGTCTCTAAAAACCAAAAATCAACAACAGCAACAAAACAAAAACAAAAACAAAAAGGAAAAAGAAAAAAGAAGAAAATGGAGTTGGTTATGAACTTCTGTGTCACTAAGCAAAACCTAACTTATTCATCAGACCTTAGGCGTCATGAGGAAGAGAACGGGCAAAAACCTCAATAAACCACTTCAAAGGCAGTAACTGAGCCAAGCATATTAACACATGCCTGTAATCTCAGCCCTCAGAAGCTGGGACAGGACGGCTCATGTGAGGCCAGCCTGGGCTACAAAGCCAAAGGCAGAAACAGACAGGGAAGGAAGAAATGATGAGACAGGACGAGACTCTTCTCCGCTTTGCTCTGCCCACTCACGGGAAGGAAAGCTCATTTTGCTGTCTAGAGTAAGACGCTGCCCAATTCCAGGTGGCAAGTAAAAGCCAACCCAAGAGTATTGAGGGCTCAGCAGGTACAGGAGCTTGCCCCTGGGGCCTGATGACAGTGTTCGATTCCCCCAGGCTCCACTTGATGGACAGAGAAAACCTGCCAAGCTGTCTTCTGACTTCCACATGGACACACACAAAATAAATAAATAAATGCATTTTTTAAAAGCAAGAGCATCGGGCTGGAGAGATGGCTCAGCGGGTAAGAGCATTCGCTGCGCTTGCAGGGAACCAAAGTGGTTCCCCGACACCCTCAGGGCGGCTCACAACCCTCAGTTAACTACAACTTCAGGAGATCCATCGCCCCCTGCTGGTCTCCACAGGCTCTGCACACAAGGTTCACATACACACATGCGAACACTCACGCCCATAAATAATAACTGGAAAAAATTTTTAAACAAGTCCGTTAAACAATTGGTTCGTGTTTTGTCTTCTGACAGACCCTTCTTCCCTGCCGCGGTCCTATGGAGGCGGGTGCTGTGAGGCCACCGGGAAAATTCCGCTGAGTGACCTTGGGCAAGTCACCACGGTCCTCAGCGCCGCTACAGTGGCAGGCCCAAGCGGCTCCCGCACCCTCCCCGCTGCCCTTGTCCCGGGTGCAGACGCGCGTGTCCCGCCCGACCGCCGCGGGGCCTCTCACCCGGGCGTGCACTGTCCCCATGGTTCCCTCTTCGGCTGCTGCCCCGCGGAGGTGCCCGCGCCCACCCTAGCTCAGCTACAGACTCAGACGCGCGGCTACAGGTCACGGAAGCGGCGCGCGGATCACCGCCATGCTGCACAGCCTAGGGCCCGCCCCCCTGGCTCAAGAGCCTCCGCTCATTGGTCCGAATGTGACAGTGACCCGGATGTTGTTCCCAAGAACGCCGGGAAGCCCAGTTGCAAGCGTAGAGCGGGTAGTAAGGCTCGGAAAGCTGCTCATCTGGGCGGAGCTGATCCACGGGCGGGTTACGGGGGCTGCACCCTTCTTGGACGCCAAAGCCTGACCCTCGTTCCCTGGTGGCTTACACCGGTCCAGTCATTGGAGCCTCGTTTTCACTTCTAAGGTGTGGCCTAAGGGCGAAGGGGATGAGAGACGAGTGTATGCTCCTGGAACCGGGCATCGAGCATGGCTCGGGTCAACACCGTAACACCTTCGCCCGGATCCAGTAAAAAAGGGTGAGTGTGGGGGTGGGGTCGTTCCTCGAGCGGGTTCAGTAGGTAAAACGCACCAGCCGCCAAGCCTGACAGCTTCAGTTCAATCCCTCAGACCCACATGGCGAAAGAAGCGAACCAACTCCAGAAGTTGTCATCGCTGAGGCGATCTCCACACACAAAATAAAATTAAGAGTCAATAAAGATCGCCTTCGCAGGCTCCCCAGGAACATGTGTTTGTTTCTACTTTATCTTTCAATTAAAATATATTTACATCATCCCTTTCCCCCGAATTTTGTTGTTGTTGTGTGGTTTTTTGTTTGTTTTGTTTTGTTTTTTTGGTTTTTTGAGACACCGTTTCTCTGTGTAGCCTTGGCTGCCTTGTGTCCTGGAACTTTCTCTGTAGAACAGGCTGGCCTCGAACTCAAAGAGATCCTCCTGCCTCTGCCTCCTGAGTGTTGGGATTAAAGGCGTCCACCACCATCACCCGGCCAGATTCATAGTTTTAAAAAGATGAATAGAGCCCATCCGGTGATGGCAGTGAGTGGCATTAGACAACTGTGAGCTGTCTGTGAGTATTACTGAATATTGGGCACGACTATAGACACTGGCCAGGCCCATACCGTGTTCCTAGCCTATGGCACCAAATTGCATTAGACAGAAGCTAATAAAGGCAAACCCCACTATATACTTCCTGCCTTCATCCAGTCCAATGGCAAGCATACATCCTGAGGTACTTCTTGCCTACGTACCTCTCATCTACCTACGTGTGATCAAGGCCTCCTGTTCAGTTGGGGCAACTAAACCTGTTAACAGAAGTGGAAATATGTGGCTTGTTATCTTATATGGAAAACATCCCCCAGCATTCCAGGAAGTTATCTGTCCTTGGGCAAGTGGGGCTTACAGGTTAGAAGCATTTTTGTTTTATAGATCTCTTAAGGACAATAATTTAAACTTAAAACATAACTTTAGCCCTCACATGTCCTCCCCCGATAGATTATTAAAAAGCAGCTGTAAGCTGGGCAGATGAATCTCTTGAATTCGAGGCTAGCCTGGTGTACAGAGTGAACTCCAAGACAGCCAGGGCTACATAGAGAAACCCTGTCTCAAAACAACAACAACAACAACAAAAGCAGCTGTAGATAGAAGGCAGAAAGAGAGGTTTGGTCTGACCTTAGGTGGGACCATGTTTATTCACAATGAGAGAGTGTTTTGTCACCTACGTGTTTGGATGTCCAAGATGGCTACAGGGGGAGATGGAATGCAGCTCCTTATAGTCATAGTCCACAAGGGAAGCTGGGATCTGTAGTCCTTCACCAGGAAACTGTCACTCCTCTGCTCCCTTATTCTTGGAGCTTAGAACAGCGTCTGGCTCAGTCAATAAGTCTGTGGTATCATGATTACACTGAGGTAAACTGAGGGTGACTCACTTGAGCACTCTGCCCATTATCTAAGCTTTTGTTCAGGTTGCCCCTTTGTTGGATGCCCTTCTTGGCTGTGCCCCCTGGGAGTGCTCATGTAGTTTTCAAGGCTTCCACACTAGCTTCATCTGTGGCCTAAGAGTGTCATACTCACCCATTCCTTTGTCACCATGGTCCTTTCCCAGTGGTTACTAAAAACGCACATTCTAGGCTGGGGGTGGTGGTGTGTGTGTGTGAGCATGACACTGGGAAGCCTGCTGCAGGAGAATGGAGGGTTCCAGGTGAGCCTGGGCCACAGAGTTAGACCAGCTTGGGCTATATAGCAACACCCCAGTCATGTTTTGCAGTGTGGAGAACATCTAGCATGCAGGCCTAGAGGAGAGGACACAAACCTATAGAGAAAGCTTCCCCACAGGCCCTTTTGACTGTAGGAGGAGAGAGGCAGAAGAGACTGAAGGTACATTTTTTAAAAAAATCATATTTATTGTTTTTTTCACGTTGATTATGAACCCTTTTCCCTTAACAGTTGTGGGTATTTTTGGTGTTTCCATTCAGTCCTGTGGACACACTCATTTGCATAAACACATCCATACTTGTTTTTAACAAATGAATGAGCTTTGCTACCTGCTTAGCAGGTCAAGACGTAGCTCCCCGCCCAATGGTAACTTCTCCACTCCGGGTGTTCCTGACAGTGCAGGGCTCCAAACCAGCAGGAATTTTATTTGCTAGGGTGGCAGGAATATTCTTCTCTGCTGATGAGAAACTTCCAGAAAGGGGCAGCTCAAGGCAGGGCAAAGGAAGCTCCTGCCATTTTTGGTTTGTTTGTTTATTTTTTGTCTTTTTGAGGCAGGGTCTCACTTAGCCAAGGCTGACCTCTAACGGCCAAGGCTGACCTTGAACCTCTGACCGTCTTGCTCTTCAGCTGGAGTGCTGGGATATGTTTGCCTGTCACACCACAGCTTATATGGTGCTGAGACTGGACTCACAGCGTCATGCATGCTAGACAAGCACTCTGCCAGTTGAGCCATGTCCCCATTCCCAGCTTGTCTTCTTTCCACAGTCTTTCTTCTGGGTAGCCTAGAGCTAAGCTTTACCTCTGAACCACATTCTCTCCCCCCAGAGTCATCCCCTGTCCAATCAGGATCAACCCTGCTGAGAGTATGTGCACCAGGGTGTGATGATTGTGTGAACCTGGGGTTCACTAGGACTCCAGGAAACTCCAACACGGGAGACATATACCTTCACTGCCAATGCTCAGGAGTATGAGCAGGTCCTTGTTTCGAGCTTTGTTTGTTTTTTATGTTCTAATCTCATATGTGAATTACAGGAAACACATCATACCCGCAGCATACACACACCTGAGAAAAGTGGATGCCTATCCCCATTAAGGCTGGTGGAGCAGACGGGAGAGGCAGTGGTGGTTGGTGACAGTACAGAGATTTGGAAACAGTGGAGAAAGCAAGCCAGGCTGAGGATGCAGAGGCAGAGGTCCACTGCGCTTCCTACCTGTGTTGTTTTGCCCCCACATACAAGAGATGTTATTTTAAGGCTAATTCTCTTCACAGCTCACTGATCATATGTGTGTTTATACAAAGTTCTTTTTTTTTTAAGATTTATTTATTTATTGTATATATAGTGTTCTGCCTGCATGTATGCCTGCATGCCAGAAGAGGGCACCAGATCTCATTATAGATGGTTGTGAGCCACTATGTGGATCAGAGAGTTGAACTCAGGACCTCTGAAAGAGCAGCCAGCGCTCTTAATCTCTGAGCCATCTCTCCAGCCCTATATAAAATTCTTTATAAACTATTTTAGTAAGAGCCAATGGTGTCCTTGAATGTAATAAGTTATCTTGTATTACTTCTCAGGGACAGCCACATCCCATCCCATTACACTTCTCCAACAATTTTCCTTACGAGATCGCCCAGTTTGAATTCCCGTTTCCAAACACTGCTGCCCTTGGCATCCCAGATCATTCACAGGCTGAGAGACAGTGGAGCCTCCTCTCTGGGTGAGCTCCCAAGCACCAACTTCACCCAGACCAAAAGTGGCTTTCTGAAGACCAAATCTTTGCCTTTGATTTCTCTAAACTACCAATTTAGCCCAGATCCTGTCATCCTGGGGTCAGAGGCATGAGGTCACCACACAGCACCCAGGGGCTCAGCTCCTGGAGAGTAATTTCCTAGACACCTCCACAAGCAACAGAACCCTTCCTACTGTATAACAGAGAGTATGACACCCCCACCCACCCTCCCACCATCCAGACACCGTTGCTCCAGCTGAAGGTCAAGCTGGGCTTTGGGGTGGAAGGCAAGGTGGCCTCAGCTTTGGCCCCTCCTGGACCATCCACAGGGGGAATGTCCAAGTTCATGGGAAGCAGAGAGACCAGCAATTTACAAACCAGCAGAGCTGCACTGGGGTTTGTGTAGCGATGAGTGGTGTCCATGCTTGGGTATTCCATGGTCACTCTTGGATGCCTGGGATCTGAATGGAAAAGAAGGAAGTAAGGTTGGAGGCCCTTCCCAAGGCTCTGAGCCTCCAGTACTGTCGGAATCTGGTTAGAACCCAGCCTCTGCTCAGGTCTCCTCTCGAAGATCTTCACAGGAACCTCCTGGGACACTGAATCCTTGCTTGCTGGGGCACGGTATTCCACCTGAGAAGTGAGTCTACAACATCAAAGGGATGTCACATCCTGCTCTCCATCCCCTTCCCTGCCTCCTGCCTGGGAGTCAAAGAGCCTGGCTGCAGACTCTTGCTGTGAACCTCCCTCAGCCTCAAAAGATCTAAGAGGGGTCCCTCCTCTGCTATGTGGGCTTAGAGTCTCTTCAAAGACCCCACCATGCTGTCTGTCTCTGGTGCTGGGCCTGAAAGCCCCCACCACACTGTTGCCCCCTTGTCCATCTGTCTGTCCATGGCATTAATAACTTGTAATAAACACCTTATTCGCCAGTAATCTATCTCGGTGTCCTCTTGAACTCCCCACCCCAAACCTATCAGGTACAGGGAGGATGGTGCCAGGCATCAAATCACCATCACATACTTGGTCATTGCAGGGGCAGCCCAGAGCCAGAGCTTCTTCCTGCCTTCAGTGCTGAGGTGACAGTCCCCATCTCCTAAGCCTGTGGCCTTCTCCACTGCCTGAACATCCCCCGTGGATATCCACAGCTTCACCCATTAACAAGCCCTCAATTGGACCATGGGCTTCCTTCACAGGAGCATGCTGTCCCATCAAGGTGCCCCTCCTGGACCCACTTCCCATAAGTCACTGGGACTGCCCCCCTCTTCAAGCTGCCAGGGGTCCTGCCCACAGGCACAACAATGCTGCTCAGTACCTTGATCTCCTCTGTCCCCTGAGCCCACAGCTCCTCCTTTCTGTCTCCACTCTGTCATTCCTCTCCCTTCACAGCCTAGGTGAAGGACCCCCAGGGCAGCAGATGTCCTGGGGTATCTATCTGGTAGAGTCAAGGCCTCCCTCAGGATGCGCCCTGCACAAAAGGGCAAACTCCTTATCACCAAGTCAGATGTTCCTAGAATGTTGCATGTGGCCTGGGCAGAAACCTTGTAGTGGTTCTGACAGGAGAGAAGCATTCTGAAGGGACAAGGGTGCTCCTTCCTGTGGCTCTCAGACCTTTGAAACAGTGAAGGCCAAGGAATTGGGATTTCCCCAGGAGTCTCCTGCTGAGGAGAGAAGGCCAGAATCTTGGAGGAGAGCCTGGAGCCGGACAGCAGTGGACAGGACCACACTATGACTAGAACTCTTAGCATACCTCTGTTTAAACTTAAATCTCCTGTCAGAACCCCAAAGGTTAACTTCAGGTGGAGCTCTGGGAACAACAGGGATGCCCATCTGGCCCACATACCCTGGGCCAAATTATTTACCTGGTTGAGGGGAGCAGACACATCGTCACTCGGGCACACACCTGGGAGGTCGCCCACTGCAGCCACTGGATATCATCAGGGAGGTCAGGGAGCCACATCACTAACCTGCGGGAAGGAAGCCAAGGACACCACCGTGCATGCACTGCACATATAAACACACATGCACACCTATCACATGCACACGGGTTTACTGTATCAGTCTGAAGACAAACCAGAAGAAAAGTCAATAAAAAGCACCCATCTCCCAACGGTAGCCTTCATCCACACGAGCTGCCACTGTCACGTCTAACCCCGACCGGATAAGCTCTTTAAGGCGGATCTGGCTGTCACCACATCAGTGAACCTTCTAAAATCCGTAAAGCAAACCAGGCCATTCAGGCTTCCAGAAAACTCCCAGGAATGAATGCGGAAGGCCTCAGCTCGGTGGGGTCAGTCGACCTAATTCCTCAAGGGCTGATGGCAAGTGCTGGCTGAGGCCTTGGCTCTCCACAGAGGCTAGCTGTTCATGGACACCATGAACCCAATGGTAGTACCATGGGGGCCAAAGACATTCGTAGGCTCTGGCAAGAGGCAGGTTGCTGGTGAGTGCCAGCCCAGAACAGGAGGCCCACTCTACAGGGGGTCACTAGATCATTAAAGCTGCCCAGGGATTTTGATGGAGAAACTGGAGGTGGGGCTGCTGCAGGGTGCTAAAATGGAAATGCAGGGGATGCACACAGGACTCTAGCTTGCTGCATGTCCTACCCAGAGGTGTGTGAGCAGACCTACCCAAATGGCAGGTTTGCCGTGGAGCAGATAGAGAAGCACGGAGGCAGACCTGGGTTCCATTTATTTCTTTTCACACAGGGTCTTGTTTTCTTGTCTGGCTGGCCTAGACCTCCTGGGCTTTTTAGCTTCCCAAGTAGCTGGGCTGCAATTGTGAGTGGCTGACTCGCCTAAGAGATTCTGTAGCCTCAGCCAGAAGGGGAGGAAGCCAGACATTGCCGAGCACCAGTACAACTGTAAAACTTGGTGGCATATCCAAGCATCCAGGAAAGACGAGGAGGTAGCCCTCCAGGGAGACCTGCCTCCTGCAGGAGTGGGCTGGTCAGCATTAGTCACTGCCTGGGAGCTGTGCTGGTGACCATAAAATAACATAAGTGGGGTGCGAGTTGGGGGGTGAATCATGCCTGACACCCTGAAAGCACATGAGAGGTTGAGGCAGAAGGCTGACTTGAGTTCAAGGTCAGTCTGGTCTACACAGTAAGTTCCAGGCTAGCTTGGGCTTCGGAGTTAAAATTCTGGCTCAGAAGTTTGTACACACGGGGCAGAGAGATGGTTCACAGGGTGAAGATGTTTTGGGCCATGTTTGACACCTTGAGTTTGATTTCCAGGACCCACACAATGGAAGGAGAGAACCAACTTTGGAAAGTTGTCCTCTGACCTCCACACATAGGCTGTGGCCTTCATGAGTACTCGCACAGATGCTTGACTTATGCTGCTAATGTTAAAACCAGAGAAAATGCTGGGTGGTGGTGGTGCACACCTTTAATCCTAGCACTCAGGAGGCAGAAAAAGGTGGATCTCTAATTTCAAGGCCAGCCTGGTCTACACAGAGAAACCCTGTCTTGAAAACCAAAACCAAACCAAATAAAACAAAAATAACCCGAAGAATGGGACTGGAAGGCAAATGTGAGGAGACTTCAGATTGGAGGCCAAAAGTGAAAGGTCTGAAAAAATGCAGAAAAGAGAAAGTTCCCGAGTCCGGAATCCAACCCAGAGACAAGGCTTTCACAAGAGCCCCAGGAAAAGGGGAGCAATGGCCATGGAAAAGAAGGAATTACAGACATAATTCCAGAAAGTCCAGTCCCCAAACCACAGGAGAGCCAGGCTTCGCCTGAGAAAGTGACAGTAGGTGGAATGAAAGACCAGCCCAGAAGGGCCAGAAAGACAAAGCCACTCAGCCACAGAGGAGGAGAACCAGGTGGAAGTGGACTCCTCATGAGGAATCCCATGAAAGCCTGGCTTGGGACTCGAGAGGACAGACTGTGGGTTGCAGGTCTTTGAGCAGCTGCCCAGCAGTCAGAAGTAGAAAACAGTGGAGGTTCTAGGGAGGCCAGCAGAAGTTTCCTTAGGGATTTGGTGTGGCTCCGCTTCGGCAAAACTATCGAGAACACCAAGAAAAAGACAGGGCCCAGCCGGGGTGGCACATACCTTTAATCCCAGCACTCAGGAGGCAGAGGCCGGAGGAGCTCTGAGTTCGAGGCCAGCCTGGTCTACAGAGTGAGTTCTAGGACAGCCAGGACTGTTACACAGAGAAACTCTGTCTCAAAAAACAGAGAGAGAGAGAGAGAGAGAGAGAGAGAGAGAGAGAGAGAGAGAGAGAGAGAGAAACAGGGTCCTAGGAAATGGAAGGGCAGGGCTGTGTGGTGGCCCTGGAGCACCAGTCCAGATGAGACAGGACAAGGACACCAGGAGAGGGCCAAGGCAAATGGCACAGCCAGAACATCCAGATGATGCCTCTCTCCCTCTCAGCCCCCATCTCTCTCCTCACCTCCTCTCTCTCCCTCTCTTCCTCCCCCCTCTCTCCTCTCTCTCCTTCCTCGTGGTACTGGGACTGAGGCATTGAACCACGCTAACTACCCACTCCACCACTGAGCTACATGCCCAGGCACATTCTGTTTTTGAGACAGGGTCTCTCTATATGTACCCCAAGCTAGTCTTAACTAACGCTGTGACCCAGGGTGGTTTTGAACTCCTGCTCTTCCTGCCTCAGCCTCCATTCAGAGTGCTAGGACCACAGGTGTGTACCACCACACCCAGGATAAAAATCTGAAACATTCTGAGTATTGGCATGATGCTCAAAACATTTCTGATTTTTTTTAACCTGTTTGAACTAGTTTAACTGGTAAGCCTATGCAAATACCCAGAATTCCAAAGCAACAACAGCAAAACCAAATCCTCAGAAGTCTCAAACACTTTGCTCCTAAGCATCTTGAGTAAAGGATGTCAGCCTAAAAACAAATCACTGTTGCCAGCTGAACATGTGGGCACATGCCACACGCAGGACCTCACTAGGCCTTCTGATTATCCTCTGCCCCAGGCAGGCTCACCTCTATTTCTTCAAAGGTAAGCTGAGGTGCAGAGAGGTACATTCATTAGTCCAGGGCCACACAGCTGTGGAAGGGGTGCAGCTAGGTGTTAAGCCAGAACAGTCTGATGGCTGAGCTGAGCTGCTGCCCCACTGTGCTGTTTGAGTGGGAGCCCCAAGTTCCAGGCCACCTCACTTCTGTCTCCTAACTGCTGACTCTGACTTACAGCATCCAACCATGGCCAGAGGGAACGGGCCTCTCAGCTCAATACTGTGATTCTAAAGACAGGCCCAAGGACAGCAAGGACCTGCCTCTAGGCCTGGCCTTCCTCCTCACCAGCTCAGTGACCATAGTGTTGTGGCCTCTACCTCTCCCTGCCTCAGTTTCCCCAGGGGATCATGAATGGCTGGACTAGGGCCTAGTTAAGGCCATGGCCAGCTCTATGAGTCTGCAGATGGCTTCAGAGCTTACACCATGTTGCAGATAGCCATGGCTGAAGGAAGGGGGGCCTCTCCCAGGGCTCCATCTTGTGACACATACAGCCCGCCTGGGCCGAAGCCACTGTCAGCTCACTGAACTGTCACAGCAGGCCTCGATGCTTACCTGTGGACTGTAGCAATGGCCAACTCCACAGGCAGAGTACAGGGCAGCATGATGTAAGACAGAATTCTGATGGGCAGGAGGTTGCAGGCTTTGCTCAGGTAGCCATCTCTGTCCTTAATCGCTTCACTCAGAGCTGAAAAGAGCAATTTGGAACCACAGATCTGTATGGCTCCTGAGAATACCAGGATTCAAAGCCCCTCTGCCCAGTAGGGCTCAGACCAGCTTTGAAAGAGAGGAAGCCTGGAGCCGACAGCCGGGCAGCAGTTCAGACGGGACACACTGCGGTTTGTGAGGTGTTCCTCTCACAGCCAGGGTGGTGCGAGGTCAAACACCAGCCAAGTCTGATGGTTCGGGCTTCTAATCCCAGCCCTTGGGAAGCTGAAGCAGGAGGATTTCAAGTTGGAGGCCAGTGTGGGCTACACAGTGAGATAGTCTCGGAGAGAAAAGAACACATGGAAAAGAGTTCCATCTCTCCCTCCCACCTTCCCCCCTCCCCTCTGCCGGCACATGTTTAGGCCTTTGGCTCTCTCATGTTTCCAGATGAGGGTGCACACAGCTTCCCAGCCACCCTTGGCCACACTCCTCTCCTCCGCTGCCTCTTGCTTCCTGTAGCCTGACCTTTGATCCCCCTGATGACCTCCTGACACCACCCACTGAACAGCTACTGCCTGAAGGACAGACACTGGGTTCCATTCATGGCTGAGTCTCTCTCGGGCCTGGCTGGAAGCTGTTTGTGGGCTAGTCTGTCTGACTTGGCACACCAGACCACGGTCACATGCTGCAGTTACTCAGCAACTCCTATAAACAACAAATGGTGACTCTTCACAGAGTTGGATGCCGGAAGGCCAAGTGTTAAGGTGTCAGCAGACACTGGTGTCCGGTGAGGGCCCAGGTCATAGATAGCACCTCTGTGGGCCGAAGTACCGGAGGATATTTCCTGGCCCTCTGTACAGCACCAATCTCATTTGGAAGGCCCTGCCCCCAGGAGTTGTCCCAATGCTTGCCTCCCAACACCACATCCCCTTAGGAGCTTGGATTTCAGTGTGAGAATCATCTGTGTTCTTGAGATAGGGTCTCATGTAGCCCAGGCTGACTCAGAACTCACTCTGTGGCCAAGGCTTGCCTTGAACCCCTGATCCTCCTGGCTTCACCTCCTAAGGACACTACCACATTAGGCTGTCAGCACAGGAATTTTGAGGGGCACAAACATTTACAACATGTCATTGTCCACTCGACAGCCAATGACAGCATAAATACATCACATGGAGGTAAAAAATGGTGGCTGAAGAACGAGGGAGCTAAGGAGAGACAAATGGACAACTGTGACCCCCCAAAGGCATTCTGAATGAAGAGTCGGGAGACAGAGGCTGGATCCCAGGTCCTCCCTCATATCTATGGCTCTAATGAGAGTTGGAGCCAGTAGGGAGGCAGCCTGGCAGGATGGGCCTGGGCCTGGCTGCTGGGCTGGAGCTTGTGTGGGTAACCTGGGCTCAACTGGATCAGCGTTCCTCCTGATCATGACCTCTAGGTACAGTGGCCAGCTTGTGCAGTAGATGGAGATGTCCTTATGGCCTGTCCCCATAATCCCAGAGGCTTCTTGCTGGAAAAGCGTCACCTTTTCCCCTCACACACAGCAAGTGGCCCAGTTGCTTACACTGACCATCGACTGGCACACCTTAGTCTCATCCCGCCCCAGTATAGCAGTACCTGTGCTGAGCTGGGGGGACAAGGTCTCCTGGATGCTCTCATCCCAGGGCACAGCTGTAAGGTACAGACTGGCTGGAAGCTTGTCCCCCACAAGGCTGCTGTTTTCCGGGCAGAGAGGCGTGGCTTCTGACTCGGTCTCCTCTGAGGACAGACTCAGGCCAGGCTGTGGCCCATTACAGATGCCTGCAAAGAACAGGGAGATGCCCATGAGGGTAGAGATGGGAGACCGCTGTTGTTTACCCAGCCACACTCAGCCCCAGGTGGCAGGGGAAGGCGAGCCAACACAGCAACTTCACGCCTGCTATAATCCCACACAGGACACATCAAAACTAGACGTGCCGTGCGTGCAGCCAGGCAGATGGGAGTGTGGTTCCTGCCTCACTCACTCGCTCACTCTCTAGATATGTGGGATTCTCTCTGCTTCAAAGTCAAACGCTACACCGAACAAATAACTCTTCTCCCGCAGGCCGAGCACTTTCCAAATCCCAGGCCCTGACCGACAGGCCCGTGGCCATTCAACAGCCACCAGAATCACCAGTTCCACTCGTCGGCTCAGGAGACACAAGCGCAGAGACTCATTCAGAGTCCCACAACCACTACTCGGCAGAGCCAGGTCTGGTGTCCAAGATGACACCCTTCCACCATACGGCTTCCAAGTACCGAGAGGCAGGCAGGGCCATATCTAGTCCTGGTCTGTCTTTCTCCCTCTCTCGTGATTCTTGTTTCTTTCCCTTGAGTCAAGGTCTCACGATATAGCTCTGGCTGGCTTTGACGTGGCAATCCTCCTGCCTCAGCCCTGGGACTGTAGGTCTGGGCCAACAGCCTAACCGAGAAGCAACACCTTGAAGGGTTTTTTTTGAAACAAATCAACGTCCTCCAATCCCAAGATGGAGTAGCATTTTGGATAAAGTAGCCAACCCCTCGTGTGTGCGCGTGTCTGTGTGTGTGCATGTCTGTGTATCTGCACCTGTGTGGAGTGCTGGGCACTGGCTCCCCTCACTATACTGCAGCTCTCTGGCTTGCCTCACTCACTTTAGCAGCCCTCAGTGGCTCCCAAGTCCACATGTCACACTTCCTCTGCCCTCTTTGTCCCTCCTTCAGTGTCCCCACCCTGTGTCACTCCAGCCCCACGGGCCCTCCTCTCACCACCTCTGGGAGCCACAGGCCTTGACTTCTGCTCCCGAGCTCTCCTACTCATCCAGGGCCCACACTCTCCAGGACATCCTTCTCTTGTTCAGGCCCTGACGATCTCAAGGGTCAGCCTGAAGCCTAGATCTCCCCGCCGGCTCGCCACCGCCCTTCCACATGCCCATCCCGCCTCTTCATGAGGCTGTGGAGGCTGCTTGCCATGGCCCTGCGGCCTTCAGAGTGGATGAACACGTCTGTCCTTACAAAAGGACCATCTCCTGTCTCCACAGATGTGCTTCAAACCCACACGCGCCAGGCACATGTTCTACCAACCCTCTTGTTTTTTCTTCCCTTCCCTTCTCTTCCTTTCTTTTCCTGACGGGCTTGGGTACTGAACCCAGTGCCCTCCCTATGCTAGGCAAGCACACTGGCACTGAGCTATAGCCCCAGCCTTTTTTAGGGAGACCCTATCTCAAGAACTGTTAAAAAATCAGGGTCTCACTAAGTGGCCCAGGCTGGTCTCGAGCTCATTTGGCAACCAGGGTAGGCCTTGAACTGCAGTCCTCTGCCTTAGCCTCCTGAGTAGCTGAGATGACAGGTCCACGTTACCAGGCCGAGCTTGTGACAAGGGACATGTTTTTTAAGAAGGACCAGCTTTCCTCACTGTGTGACTGTGGGATGTGCCCGCGTAAACTAAGGAAGTCATGATGTCAAAATACCATCCCACTGTGTGACTACATATACACAGCCCAGCATGGTCGCCTAGGTGAGCTTGGATGACTCAAGTATAGGGCCTCTTAGGGAGAAGACTCATCTAGTGGGCGGGCCCCGTCATGGGCTGGGGCCCAGATCCTGATGGCCTCATCCGGAAACTGCTCCCAAACCCTGTCACACCTGAGCCCATTACACTAAAGGCTCACAAAAGAGCTCAAAGAGAAAGAAACAAGCGGCCTGCAGAGGAGGGGCCCTAGGGTGGTGTCAGGCTGCCCAGGTTCAAATCCCAGCTCGGCCGGCCTCTCTTCTCCAGCCTGCATCCTATCTATAAAAGGGGCAAAGGCTTCCTATCCCATAGGGCTGAGAAGTGGGCAGAGTGAGATTATGGGGAAGGCCATGAGAATGGGTGACAGAACTGAAGGACTCTGCAGTCACCCCCAGGCAAGACCTACCGTTCTCTGCCAGGAACCGGAAGGCGTCCAGGTACCCTTGAAAGCACAGCTCTCCCATCACCTGTGAGCAAATCAGGCAGGTGAACCACACGGACCATGACTGCCATCTCCCCAGAGGACCAAGGACATCCAAGGCTTGGAGGGCCCCTGAGAGGGCCCATCTGATTCGGTTTCCCCAGGTCTCATTTCCAATGTCCTCTCCACAGAAACTCTGCCAGCAAGATCTATGTTCCAGGCAGATGGGGCCTGGGGCTGTCACTCTAGCCAACACGGAACTACCCTACCTGTCCCTGGACATTCATGGCCGAGCATCACGCTTGGTGAGCAACATCAGTAGTTCTCAGGACACCTGTGTCTACACAGTGGCTGCACTATAACACCAATCAGGAAAGGGAAGCTCTGAGTCTGGTGGCTCCTTGCCATAGTACAAATCAGAATCACGTTTAGGAACCAAAGTGAAAAAAAAAAGTTCTGGATCAGGGGCGTGGCTCAGCAGTGTAGCTCTTGCCCATAATCCACCAGTGAGGGCTAGGGGGAGCATGGCTCAGCTGTGAGGCCTTGCCCATAATCCACCAGTGAGGGTTGAGGGGGTGTGGCTCAGTGCAGTGCTCCTTGTCTGTCTTCCATCCTCAGCATCACAAAAGAAGAAAACCCAAATGTCTGGGGCAGTGCCCCTGATTCATTTTAAAATATTGTGCGTGTGTGTGTGTGTGTGTGTGTGTGTGTGTGTGTGTGTGTGTGCGTGTGCATGTGCGTGTATGTGTACATACAGAGGTCAGAGGACAATTTACAGGAGTGGGTTCCTTCTCTTGCCATATGGGTTCCCAGGAATGAATTCAGTCCTCATGCTTGGCAGCAAGCACCTTTACACACTGAGTCAACTTGAGGGCCCATGATTTTGTTTGTTTGTTTGTTTGTTTGTTTTTGAGGCAGGGTCTCTCTCTCTCTCTCTCTCTCTCTAACCCTGGATGTTTTGAAACCCCATATATAGGCCAACCTGGGCTTAAACTCACAGAGATCCACCTGCTTCTGCCTCCTGAGAGCTGGGATTAAAGGAGCGCAGCACCATGCCTTGGTTGTGTGTGTGTGTATTTAAGATTTAGTTTTTAATTATTTATACAGGTATGTTCATATGTATACAGAGGCTCACAGAAGCCAGAGGCACTGGAGTTACAGGCGGTTGTGAGCCCGATGGGAGTGTTAGGAATCAAATTCAGATCCTCCACAAGAACAGAGTATGCTCTTCACCTCTAAGCCATTTCTCCACTTGTTTTGTTTTTAAACATTTTTTAAAACGTAATTTATGTATTTTATGTATGAGTGCTCTGTCTGCTTGTATGCCTGCCAGAAGAGGGCATCAGATCCCATTATAGATGGTTGTGAGCTGTCATGTGGTTGCTGGGAATTGAACTCAGGACCTCCAGAAGAGCAGCCAGTGCTCTTAACTGCCAAGCCCTCTCTTCAGCTTTTTTTTTTTTTTTTTTTTTTTTTTTTTTTTTTTTTTTTTAAAGGAAGGGTCTTTTTAGGTAGCTCAGGCTGATCTCAAGGTCTCCATCCTCCTGCCCCAATTTTCTGGGTGCTGGAATACAGGTATGTACCACCCCTCCTACCCTACTGTGGGTAGTGCCAATTGTCAGCTTGACAGAATCTAGAGTCACCTAGGAGAGGGGCCTCTGAACATGCCTGTGGGAGTTTATCGTGATTGTGTTAATTGGGGTAGGAAGAGCCGCCCCCTGTGGGTGGCACCACTCCCTGGCTGGGATCCTGGATCTTGGAAGCAGAGAAGGAGAGCAGGGTTGTAGCACACATCCATCACTCTACTTCCTGACCGTGGACTCGATGTGAGCAAGCGCTCTAAGCTCCTGCCTGTGACTTCCCTTGAAACGTGAGCCTGAATAAACCTTTTCAGAAAACTTGCTCTTGTCAGGATATACAAATATTTTTTTTATCACAACAGGAAAAGAAACTTAGACACCATCCCCCAGCCCTGATTTTTTTAGACCCCAATTCTTGGAAGTGGAGTCTGAACTCTGGGTCAATCCAAGTGACCCCCAGCGGAGCCTGTGGGTCAGAGGGACAACAACCAGCTCCAGGACAGCAACATTTCTGAGTCACCATCATGGCACAGTCTATTCCTGTTGGCTCATGGAGGGACTAACAGGTGTCCCCAGCTATCCGGGAGGCAGACAGCGGCACCCCAGCACCCCACTCACCTTCACATCTGGTGGGAAGAGCGCTCTGCTTAGAAGGTGGAGGTTCCTAGTACAGAGGCGGAGACTGAGGTTGGTGACATTCACCTGGAAGAAGTTGGTGGACTTGACTTTGGGGCAGATGTCATGCTCGCCATAGAAAGGGGACACTGTGATGGTGGTTTTGGCATCCAGCAGGGGGACATTGTCACTCACACCTCCATCCACGTACCGCTGTAAGGAAGATGGAATGGATGATACTGTTTTCTGAGACACTGCAGTCCATATGGTGGCCCAGGGACCACTCTTCCCATGGCTTCTGACTGGCATTCAAGGTTGCTGTGTGCTGTGGCATAGGATGCCCACTGTGCACAAGTGCCAGGCAGAGAGACACATGGAGATGAGAGTCCACCCCATGTGTGCTTGTCAAGTCCTAAGGCCAGGTAGACACCTATAGGTGAGTCTCTATGTGCATAAAGGGGCTATATAAACTAGGGGTGCTATATGTCCTGGGCACAGAGTGTGATATGAACCCTGCCCCCACAGGAGACACATGGCCACAAGTTCAAATCCAGACTCCCGTTGCTGCTTGGGAGATCTGGGACAAGATATTTAATCCAGCCTGGTTTCCTGTAACATTTTTCTTTTGGGGGGGTGGTTAACCTTGAACTCATGATCCTCCTGCCTCAGTCTCCCGATTGCTGGGATTATCTGTGAAAGCCACCATGCTCATGACCGTCTTACGTAGTTAAGGCTAGCCTTGAACTCCTGACCCTCCTTCCTGAGGAAAAGCATTCTAGGAAGTCAGGGGACATCACCAAGATGCTCCTGGGTCCCTTCCACTTAATTCTGGAAAGATCATATGCCTACATTACGTCACAAGAAGACTGGAGACCAGTATCAGGAACCAAGATGTGCTTAGCAGCTAGGCTCCCTGGGTTATGCCCACAAAGGACACACATGTGGTACACACACATACACTCAAAAAACCAAAAAAAAAAAAAAAAAAAAAAAAGTAGATTGTTCCACTCTTGGTGTGCTGCACTTGCCTTTGAATCCCAGTACTTAGGAGGATTCTAGCCAAAGTTACATAGTAAGACCCTGTCTAAAAGATTAAAAAAATGAAATACACAGCTAGCCTATATTCCCCCTGAAAATCAACGACCTTACAAGAGTAATTTAATTCCTAAGCATCTTATACTTTAATTAGGCCACCAGGAGGATCCCCAGGGTGCTCAAGAGCAGATTAAGGGAGCCAGGCTAGTGTATCCAACAGACAGCAGACAGGGAGGTGGAAGACACTCCAGGGGTGGGTGTGAGTCTGTGGATCAATCCTATGGGATGCCTGGTATGGATTCTGTCCTCAATGCAGAAGATCCCAGCTCTGCAGTTAGACAGTCATGGACGCCAGAGCCCAGGTCACTGCAAAGGAGGCCTCAAACACTCAACTGTATTACCCTCCCCATCACCCCCCCATCCCCCCACCCCCGCACAGGTATACTTACCTCACCCCGGAAGGAAGGAGGGATTAGGCCAGAGAAGAAAGGAATGAAGCAAGAGCACACCAGGGCCTGTGAGGACAAAGAGGCAGGACAGTCACAGGGTGTAGCACCTCCCTGTGCCCTCTGTACTTCCCAAGTGAGCCCCGCAAGTGAAAGGCTCTCTGCACACACTAGGCTTTTGAACACCTGGGTTAATGACTGGCACTCAACACCTGTATTTGAGGCCCTTGGGTCTTATCAGCAATACTGGCTCCTTAACCATTTGCCTGCACACTTCAATCTTCTGTCCTCATCCCCCAGGCTGACCATGTGGTTGACTCGGTGGCATAAGGGGCTGGAACCATGCATCTCACCCAGGGGCTAGAGGAAGCACAGACCTGGGCCCTCCCTCGGGGTTCTCCTGCAGCCATTTAGAAGCCATGTGGACCCAGTGGTCCCGCAGACCACACTTTGAGAATCACTGTGCTGGACAGCACCGTGTCCACTGAGAACAGATAGGAGTTGGCAGTTCAGAAGATACTAGAAATTCAAGTGGAGCTGGGCGGTGGTGGCACACGCCTTTAATCCCAGCACTTGGGAGGCAGAGCCAGGTGGATCTCTGTGAGTTTGAGGCCAGCCTGGTCTACAGAGTGAGTTCCAGGAAAGGCGCAAAGCTACATAGAGAAACCCTGTCTCAAAAAACCAAAAAAAAAAAAAAAAAAGTCAAGTGGAAAATTAGATTGCATGAAGCTGCTGGCCACATGTGCAGCCTCATAGAAACACATTCAGTCAAACACAGTTATTCATTTAAGAACTATAAAAAGCCTGTGTGTATGTGTGTGTGTGTGTGTGTGTGTGTGTGTGTGTGTGTGTATGTGTATGTGTGTGTATGGCCCAAAATGGCATTTTGATATGGTAACTTATCTTCTCTATGCTAGATCTTGAACTAGAGGCAAATAAGAATGGTGCCATTCGGGAGAAGCTTCATTAAAAAGAAAAAAAAAACCAGCCTCACTGCATAACATGCATAGGTTGTGGTGTGAGGCACACCCAGGACCAGTTCTCTGAGTCTTGAAGGAGGAAGAGACACTTCTGTAAGGGTGCGGCTGCACAGCAGAGCACTTGCCTGGTATGCCCAAGGCCCTATCTGTTTTGAAATAATCTTCTTGTACACTGTGAAGATTCGTCACTCGGATTGGTTTAATAAAAAGCTGAACAGTCAATAGCTAGGCAGGATTTGGGGGTCAGAGAGGATGCTGGGAAGCAGAAAAGCAGAGACATGGTGAGTCGCCAACTAGATGCAGAGGAAGCAGAACATGCAGGAGAGGGAACAAGCCATGAGCCATGCAACAGCACATAAATTAATAGAAACAGGTTAATTTAAGTTATAAGACTAGGTGGAAACAAGCCTAAGCTATCGGCCAAGCTTTTATAATTAATAAGAAGTCTCTTTGTGGTTATTTGGGAGCTGGTTGGAGGGACAGAAAAGTCCACCTACATCTATCTTCCAGCCCCAGCACTGGAAAAATTAAGAGAATTAAAGAATGCTGACATAGTAGGGCTTCCAGCGGCTACAGACCAATTCGCTGGATGTACAGTGTTCACATGGTTCCGGTCCAGTGAGACAATGACAGTCCCGTACTGCTTTTTCATTTGACCACACCCAGAGAGGCAAAGGACTTACATCCACCACTTCATCTTTGGAATGGAAATCAGACACCAGCACATTCTCTCCATCCGACACCCTGGTGAGGGAGATGTAAACCTTGCCAGAAATGATCTGGTGGACATTGTCTGGGAGGGTCTCCTGGAGCCCATCTCGGACGCACTTGTTAATGTTGAAGAATGGATGGAGGGAGCCAATGTTGCGTCTCCTGGCTTTCCGCACAAGGTCCATGAGGATCTCCATGATCTGATCTGGGGACAGAAGACAAACACACAGAACAGGATATCATATTGGAGACCAGAAACCAGAAACCACACAGAACTCCTGAACTGTGGCTGGTCCCAATTAAGACACCGTAAAACACACCCTGTATTTTGGTAATGATTGAGCACATTCAAGGAGGCTACATTCCAAAGATTTACTAGGTGATATTATCTCTGTCACAGTGGCTTACAGTCATTACAAAGTGATGATATTCTGGGTATGACTCAAAAAAAAATCAATTTCACCCTTGTCTGACTTTATTCAATGGAGCAACTAGGAAATATAAGATTGGCCTGAATGGCGTGTGGTGTGTATTTCATGGATGGTGCTGAGCTAGGTCTTCCAGTAGCCTATGTATGTGAGAACTCCTACCTGCATGTCCACAAAGCCACAAGCCACCAACACATCAGCACCCCAGCCTTGGCACAAATGAACTGGGCATTAAAAGATACAGAAGAAATAATAAATAATGAGAATAACCTAAATGTTATTCTCAACTCTACCCCTTTCTGAAGAAAGCACTCTGCCACCTGTCCATCCTTCAGGATGCCTTTAAAATTTTTTTAAAAAATTAATGTATTTGTATCCATGTGTGGGCGTGAGCTTATGTGTACCACATGTGTGCCGGAGTCCACAGAGACCAGAAGAGAGCGCCACATTCCGAGGACCTAGAGTGACAAGTGGCCGTCAGTTGCAAAGTGGGTGCTGGGAACTGAACTCGAGTCCTCTGCAAGAGCAGTAAGGGATCTTAACCACTGAGACACCTCTCCAGCCACTAAGACTGCCATTTTCAAGGAGAGCAAAATTGACTTGCTTTTGGAGACAGAAAGGATTGAGTAAAATGACGTCTATAAAATGCTCAACCCAGAAAAGACTGCTGAAGTGGCTAGTCTCCACGTTAGGCTTTGAGCCCAGAATTCCCACACTGCAGTGGGTGCATGGCACATTCGCGTTTCATCCGGCCTCACTCTCCAGCCCGGAGCCCTTGGGCTAATCCACTCTGTCCTGGCACTATATATCTAACCACCTCTTCCAGCCCCAAGCAGCGCAAATCCTGAACTCCACAAGGACAGACATATCCCAGCCTCTCCTGATCCAACTCTAACCCTGACTCCCAGCAAACCCCTCCCCCTTGCTGAGCCTGGCTTGAGAGTGAATTTACGCACTACTGCCAGATCCTACCACCTCTTCTGCCAAGTCTAGCCAACACAGATGCCCCAAGGGCCTGTGCCTGTCACAAACTGTGGAAAATGCACCTTAGCAGCTCCCACCAGAGATAACCTGTAGCTCTGGCCTCTCTGTGACCATAGGACAGTCACAGGCTGCCCCGTCTTCCGAGCAGTTACTAACACCTTCTTAGGTGTGTTTCTCAACCTTCCTAAATGCTACAAACCTTTAACACAGCCCCTCATGTTGTGGTGACCCCCAACAATAAAATTATTTTCATTGCTACTTCATAACTGTAATTTTGCTACTGTAATGAATTATAATGTAAATATCTGTGTTTTCCGATGGTCTTAGGCGACCCCGTGAAAGGGTCGTTCGATTCCCCCAAGGGGTTGCAACCACAGGTTGAGAAATACTGCTCTATATGAAAGTAGGCATACTTCAGATTCCTGAGGTCAATGCATTTAAACCTTGTCCCAATAATTATCCATCCATATGGGGGCCCAGAGTCCTCCATGTAAGAAATGCTTTTGGGGGGTTGGAGAGATGGCTCAGTGGTTAAGAGCACTGGCTGCTTTTCCAGAGGTCCTGAGTTCAATTCCAAGTACCCACATGGTGGCTCACAACCATCTATAATGAGATCTGATTCTCTCTTCTGGTGTCCCTGAAGATAGGTCTCTCGTATACATTAAATAAATATATATATTGAAGAAAAGAAATGCTTTTGGTCAGTGCTGAAACCCGGGTGTGCAATGGCCATTGGGCTGGTCTAGCCTTTCCAGAGGCCACTCTCTCTGACCTTTGCTCTTGTCTCCCTCCCTCACTGGGGAAGACAGACAAGCAGGCACACAGCCAGCCAGACCTGCTTGTCTTCTAATCCCATCAGCTCAGGGTCTGCTCACTGATCCTATCCAATGGCAGAGCTCCGCTCATCAGCAGGAACTTTTCCTGTGCCTGCCAAAGTCACTCCCGGCTGGCTCTGGCCAGCTGAGCAAAGAGTAAAGTGTTGAAGAGGCCCAGATCAATGAGGGTTGATAAGGGGCATTATTGTGCCACCTAGGGACCTTTGGGTGTCAGCAGCTTCCCCGTGGGCACTTAGCCAGACCCTGCCCACAATCTCAAAAGCATCCAGCTGTGACACTGGGAAGGGCATCGCACCCTAATAGTTTAGGGGGTGAGAGAAGTAAATTCACCTCCTCTTGCTCGTGGATGCACGCATGGGCAAATGTTTAATTAGGCCAAGATTCAAATGCCCAGAATGTCACTGCCAGTGACACTGATCTGGGAGGGGCGGCTGGCCCAGGTCAGTGAAGACAGGAAAGGGTGGAACTGGACCTGTCTGGGAATCCATTCCAATCTCTAGGGAGGGTTCCAAATACTTTCCTAACGCACGCACCCCACCCCTAGCAGTCACCTCGCAAGGCGACCAGAGGGCTGGACTGCCACCTAGGGTTCAAGTCTGGGTACCTTCTGCCCCTCCTGGCGGCACCCACCATGGTACATTAGCTAGAGACACACAGGACAAACCCTTCGCGGCTCTGATGACAGGGACCGGAGGACCCCTGCGTTGCTCCCTGCACCTTCTTCCCTACTGATTCGGGATGGCCCAGTTGGCAGGACCAGTGGAGGGCCCATTTCAAACCAGGGCGCCAGAGCGGGCCGGGAAAAAGATGCTCAAGAGTCTCCTGTGCACAGCGTGCCCGCTGCCGCCCGCCCTCGAAATCCCACGCCGGGCCCCACGGCACCGAGAAAGGTGGAAGCTCTCTGGGCAGGTTCCTTCAGGCACCCCGGAAGGTGTCCCCGATTCCCTAGGTGGAGAGGCCCTCCCCGCACGCAGGGCCTTGGGTGGTGGCCGTGAACGCACCGAGAGGGAGTCTGCATACGAAGGCGACCGCGTGCAGTGCACCGGCCGAGCAGCCGAAGAACGTGCGCGCCTCGCCGAGGAGGTGCGGGGCGCGCTCGCTCAGACACAGCGTGGCCCCGATGTGGTAGAAGCCCAGGAAGCCGCAGCCGGCGAACGACAGACTCGAGCAGCGCTCCGGGTCGTACATGGCGCTCGGCGCTCGGGGTGGCGCTGCACCTCAGCTCCGCTCCGGGTGCGCAGCTCTGAGCCTAGGGAGCCGCAGCCACCTAGGCAGTCCTCGGATGACGTCACCCAAGGCCCCGCCCCTCTCGGACCATGCAAATAAGCCAATGGGAGGACCAATGGGCGTACAGGGCCCCTGCCCCGCCCCCGCCCTCGTGGGCTTTCCCAAACCCTAGGCTTAGATGCTTGATGGACAGAAGTGGCTCTTTTCTTTCAGGTCCTGGAGGGCACGCCCGCCCGTGACACTCTCTCCTTTCCTTTACTACACAGGAAATGCCACCATCTAAAAAGGACTTATTGTTTCCTTTATTTTCTTGTACGTTTTCTGTTTTTGCAGTTATTTATTTTGCTTTCTGTACGTTTTCAATTCATGGAGAGAGGTAGGAGATTTTCTTTTCTTTTAAAATACTAAGGAATTTTTTATCGTGTGTATTTTGCCTGCATGTATGTCTGTGCACCACGGGTGTGCAGTGTCCAGAGAGGCCAGAAGAGGACGTTAGAGTCCCTGGAACTGGAGTTACAGACAGTTGTGAGCTATCGCGTGGATGCTTGGAATCGAACTCCCGTCCTCTGTAAAAAGTAGTTGGTCTCTCAACCACTGAACCATCTCTCTAGCCCCTTGTTTAATTTTACAGTACTAGGAACTGAACCAGGGGCCTCCTGCATGCTAGACAAACGCTCTACCGCTGCATTCCCAGCCTCTTTTTCTTATGATATGTTGGCTCCTTCAGTTAGTTATTCAGTTGGCTTTGAATTCAGTCTTTACCCCAGCCTGGACTACAACTTCTGACTCTCTTGCCTCAGCTTCCTAAGTAACTAGGATAACAGGATGCCACCACCAGGCAGGGCCTGAAGTTTCCATGTCAAAGTTTCACTTAAAAATAAAAAATGTGGCCGGGCGGTGGTGGCGCACGCCTTTAATCCCAGCACTCGGGAGGCAGAGCCAGGCGGATCTCTGTGAGTTCGAGGCCAGCCTGGTCTCCAAAGCGAGTTCCAGGAAAGGCGCAAAGCTACACAGAGAAACCCTGTCTCGAAAAACCAAAAAAAATAAAAAAATTAAAAAAAAAATAAAAAAAAAATAAAAAATGTGATTGGAGGGTGCTAATGAAGACATGAGTTGGGGGAACTGGGAGCAAGATGATTTCTGGTCTTGTCTGTGCCTGCTCAGGCTTCTGACGGAAAGCATCTTTGACCAGCTGGCTTAGATTCTAAAAACCATATTTTATTTTATGTATAGCAATATAATTTGTTTATTACTCTATAATAGAATATCTTTTATTTAAAATGTATATTTAATATTTTAATGTGTACTCATTGGATGCATGCATATCTGTGCACCACTTCATGCTTGGTGGCCATGGAATCTAGAAAAGGGCATTGGATCCCCTGGAACTGGAGTTACAGACAGTTGTGAGCCACTATGTGGGTGCTAAGAATCGAACCCAGGACCTCTGGAGGAGCAACATGGGCTCTTAACCACTGAGCCATCTCTCCAGCCCTATAGTAGAATAATTTGATACAATTTTAAGCAGAAGGAAAAAGAGAAAAAGTTTAAGTTATAAAATCCCTCACCCCATGAAACAAATTTCTTCTAAAAATACTTTTTCGAAGTGGGTCCACACAACCAATGTGTTCAGTGACTAGTAATGTCTAATTCCTACTGCACTAATGGTCCGTGGGATTAAAAAGATATCCCCATTCAGTCTCTGCTCAAAGGACAGGCTGAACTCTTTTGCAATGCAAAAATGGTTATTTGGTACTTCAATACCCAGAGAGTTGAATTCCTATGTCCATTATGGAGGGGAAAAACTATGAGAGTTGAAACTAGAAAAAAAAAATTAGTTTTACATCCTGTCTTGAGACTCACATGTCCTTTGTCCACATCCCTTTTTTGGTCTCCTTTCTAAATTGTAGAAAAATAAAAGGGCCTGTTCGCCACTCATTGCCTTCTTGGCTATCCTTCTGTGCTGAGATCCCCACTCTGGCCTCAGGGAGTTTCTCCATATCTCACCATCTGTTCCCTCAAAAAAGCAAATGACAGTTCTGCCCATGGTAAGAGGACCTGCCCTGTGCCCTGCTGGACTCTCTCTCTCTCTCTCTCTCTCTCTCTCTCTCTCTCTCTCTCTCTCTCTCTCTCTCTCACACACACACACACACACACACACACACACACACACACACACACTGCTCTGCAGGATGAGGTGTCAGATCCCCATGATGACAGGGAGGCTATTCAGGCTTGAATAATGAAGCATTCTTTCCCAAGAGAAAAAGCATTCATTTCCCTACTGCTCGGGTGTTTAAGTCAACATACACTGTGGGATTGATTGACACTCGCGGGGCATGAAGGCTGGGGCACTCTTTCCTATAGAGCAGTTCATATTGCCTTTGAGTCCATATGGTAATTATAGTAACTGTGATGCCTTTACTATAAAAACTAAATGCCTAGGAAGGAGAAGACACAATAGGTGTGAACAGACTTTTATTTTGATAAACATAATTAAAGTTTTAATATTCAGTTATGTTAAATAACTTACATTTAAACTTCACTATTTCGGGGCTACAGAGATGGTTCAATTTTTTTTGTTTGTTTTTTATGCACATATACTCGTGCAGACTCACACACACATAAATATGAAATAAGCATGTCTTTTTAAAATAAGAGTTTGTGTTACCTGTGAGTTCGAGGCCAACCTGGTCTGCAGAGCAAGTTCCAGGACAGCCAGGACTACACAAAGAAACCCTGCCTTGAAAAACCAAAAACAAGCAAACAAAGAGTTCGTGTTGCTGCTTGTTGGAGAGACTTAAATAAACAAACAAAACGACACTGTTTTCATATAATCTTGCAGGTGACTATGGCGGTTAACCTTGCCTTCCAACTTGTATAGACTTGAAACCACCGAGGAGCCATTGAAACCATTCCTCTGGCCATGTCTGGGAGGAGTTTCCATTTACCTAAGGAGGGAAGACCAAGTTGAAATGTGGGTGCCACCATCCCACGGTGTCCCTCTGAAGTTCCAGACTGCAAGGGAGGAAGGGACCGAGCCCCAGCATCCCGCTCTCTGTTTCCTGCTTGCATGCAATGCAACCAGCTGTTTCCTGGTTGCATGCAATGCAACCAGCTGCTTCCTGCTCTCACTGCCCTGCCTTCCCACGGAGATGAATACTACCCTCAGACTGCTGAAATAAACATGTCCTTGGGCCAGCAAGATGGCTCAACAGATAAGGAGGCTTGCCGCCATGACTGATGACCTGAGTTCCATCCTAGAACTTTTCAGAGGTAGAGGAGTGACTCTGGCAAGTTGTCCATTGTTTTCTCTCTCTGTCCCCCTCATTCACTCACACACACACACACACACACACACACACACACACACACACACACACTGTAATAAAAAATCAGAATAATCCCTTATTACCTTAGGCTGCTTTTATGAGGTATTTGCCACAGCCACAGGACAAGGAGCTGACAGAGACCAAGGCACTTCCTGGATTTCAAAGTGGCTCCTGCCTTCAGGAATCCTTCTGTCCAGACAAGCTAGGATAGCTGACTCCTTGCTCAGGGCCTTGTAAATGTCAGGGGTAGATTTTTAGCCTATAGCATGTCTCCAATAAATCCTAACAGAGGTTAACATGACTGGGCAGGAGATCTCCATCCAACTCACTGGCCCGGAGACTGAGAACAGTGCAGAAGGAAACGGAGACACTGTGACTCTTTTAGAATTCATGGGTTTTGCATTTTTTATATTGCCTATTTGCTGACATTTAATTATAACTCACAAGCCGCCGTCATTTGGGAGTTCTTTGTGAACGTGCATAAAGATAAATAAAAATGTGGGTTTCTCAGTTTGTCCATTTCTGTGGCTAAATGTAAACAACAAGCCATTCTTGTGTGGCTCTCTTGCTATATATACAGTGTCCTCCTGGCCTGGTGACTGCCATGTTTTCACACTGGGGACATTCTTTTCAGTTTTGGGTATTTCAAATGGCCTGTTCCACATCTGAAGCTCTGCCTGGGGTTCCCTGGAGCAGGGAGCCTGGGGTGTGTCTTACAGAGAGAATGCATTTAAATGAGCCGGGAAATCAGAAGTTCAAGGTCGTCTTCAACTATGTGGGGGGGGGGGGGGGGGGGCTACATGATACCCTGTCAACAAACAAGCAAAAACAGAAAAACATATTTAAAGGGGAGAGGATGTAAAAAGAACAATGACAATAAATAAATAAATAAATAAATAAATAAATAAATAAATAAATAAATAATACATAAATGCATGAAAGGAAGTTTGTGATAAGAGGTTTGCAGAACAGTAACTGTATATTGATTTGGAACTGGCTAATTTTCATCAGGGGAAATAAGAACTGACTGTGTGCTGAGGGTGTTGCTCAGAGGTACGGCACTTGCCTTGTGTATGTGAGACCCTGAGTTCACTCTCCAGCAGTGCAAAAAAAGGAGGGAGATCAGAAGGACTGTATGCTGTTCATACCCTCAGAAGCAAGAAGATGCATCAGAATTTCATGTTTACAGGATTGGAAATATACAGCAAATGGCCTGCTCTGACCACACAGGGTCCAAATGGTGATGAGAGGCTCCTGAGGACAAGCCCTGCTGGATACATGAGTGCCAGCATCCTTCACCCAGTTACCCAACCCTGCACCCAGGGCCTGACCGCCTGGAGGCTCTCGGTTCTCTGCCAGATGTCTGGATCATCCTCCGGAGATGTTCTGCAAGTGAGAGGCAGGTTTGATTCAGCCCAGGACAAAAAGGAAATAGAATTGTGTTGAGATGACTGGGCCAGTCAGAGCGTCTGTGACCATAGCCTGCACCCCAATGTCCTCCGCACAGTTCAGCTGCAGATTGGCTACTCATCTCCTCACACCTTACCTAACTTCTTCCAGCTGTCACTGATGCCTCAGAACGGAAGTCCAGCCATTGGTCCGTCTTGTCTCACTCCCTCCACCCACTCCATGAACTTTGTCACCAGCCCCAGCAGCCACTCACCCCTTTGTCCTTTTTTTTCAATTGTAAAGTATACGTAGCCTGAGAGTTAT